GATTTTGCGACTTTATACTCAACACCCTTGGCCAAAAAAAGAAAGCAACAGTGAGAAAGCATCTCATGTTATTTTTGAATTTTAGGGCTTCCTTTTGAAAATACATCATCACTGGGTAAAGCCTAAATATAAATTTTGATTGGTAATGCCTTCTAAAAAAACCCAGACCTCTAATGCTTGGTGTACCGTATGTGCTTATTTGTAGGACGTATTCCAGAAGTGACTTAGTGATGTAGGAGAAAGTGAATTGGCTTATATCCACAGAAATTTCAGGCTAAAATTTATAATAATGTTTAATAGGAAGAAGTGTACTGGGTCCTAGGATCTAGGATGATCTGGAAATCTAATCCACAGATAAGCCCAGCCTAATGTTAGCTAACGGAGTCAACATCTTCTCCCTTCAAAACGCTTACCGAAGATGTAAACAAGTATGAAACTGGCCCATGCAAACTGAAGGTCCTTCGCACTCCAAGTACTGGCAGAAGAGAATGATGGGAAGATAGGCCCGAAACACTGACACTGGTTTTATTCATGCGTTTCGCCCCTCTAAATATACTATATGGATAAGGTGAATTGTTTAAGAGTGTAAAGAATTTGGAAAGACATTTTTAACTTTAGTGGTTTTAAGCGCTTGTTCAAATACCAATAAGGACTAGATGGAAATAAACAGAGCTATTTAATTGCTTCCTTTCATATAAAAAATTTCAAGAAGTTGACGGGTGTTTGTTTTTTAGTTTCCGTCTTCCTGGCCCCCAAAAGATCAAGAACTGAACAATAACCAGAGCTTCTGGTGCCTGGAACATGTTAAACATTCATGCTCGTGAGGTAGGTTTGTTTCTACATTACTAGCAGGTCTCAGCGAACTTCTCAGTCACCCTAGAAATAACTAATAACAAAGGCAAGGCAAAAGCAAGGCCTTCTACTGGTCTGTATTAATAACTTTAGTCCAAATAATTTTTAATTATCAACCTGCCATTAAGAAACTAAACCAGGGTAACACCAACCAAGGGTGTCCTATCTTTTGGTGTCTCTTTTGGTGACACTGGAAAAAGAAAAGTTGTCTTGGGACACACATTAAATATACAAACATTAACAAAAACTAATGAGCAAAAAAAAAATTTTGTAAGTAAGTTTACGATTTTGTGTTGGGCCGCATTCATAGGCATCCTGGGCTGCATGAGGCCCGTGGGCCAAGGGTTAGACACCCCTGAGACACAGTTATTAGGATCTGTCTCTGGTATTAAGAACGGAATGAGGTATGAGAAGGCAACCAAAACTATTTACAGGTTTATGTGACCAACACAGACAGCATTAACTTTAGGTACTACAAAGCTGTAATGTCCAATATTCTGCCTCTGGTAATTGTGCTGGGTTATCAGAGCCCGCACAGGCCCCTCCCCTCAAACATCAGTACGGCTCTGCGAGGACCCCCGCTGTGCTCAAGAACACTGGAAAGTACTGTTGGCTTCCACCAGACTTAATGAGCTTGGAGTAACTCCAATACAAAGGGAAACAAAATTCAAGGTGAAGTTTACAATAATAATTAATAAAATGCTGTGTATAGGAATGAAAACTGGAAATATAATCTGAAACAGTTATAAAAGTACCAATAGAATTCTAAGATTATTTCCTTTTTAGTTCCTTGAAAAAAGAATTTAAACCAATGCGACAGTTTTGTTTATTTCACAAAGAATGCTCTTAGATCTCTATTTCAGAGGTAAAGGGGAGTACTTACAATGATCCCTTTCTGGGTTAGAGAATAATCTTGCAATATTTCAGGCTGACTTGAGATCTCTTATAATGAGTAAATCAATAAATATTCTTAATTATAAACATTTGTTGTAAACAGACATAGTCTGTGACATGAAAGATACATGCTCACACCAGATTTTTAAATTTAACCCAATCTTCTTCCTTTTCCCTTTTTTTGGGGGGTGGGGGGAAGCTTATAATCACAGAGCAGCACTTTTCAGGAGTACCAGAGAATTATTTCTGCGTGTCCGCAGAGACAATAAAACAACGGCAGTGAATGAAGGACAAAAGATTCTTGGCTTTACTGTTCTTTTTTTTTCCTCTAAGAAGCCATCACCTTCAAAACAAAAAGTCTTGTTTAGCAGTTTCATCAACTGAAAAGCATCAAGAGGTAAAATAAAGTGCAATAATCCCACTTTGATAGCCCTATGGACTCAGATTTCAAAACAAATATTTGAGACAACATTAACCAAATCATCCATATTGGTACATTCAAGTGCCAGAAAAAGCAAGCTACATGCAAGACTTCATCAACGCAGAGGTGGAAATGACAGGTTAGACATCGGAGTTCTGTTATAAAGAGCACGCTCGTCTTTACTTCAGGAAAGTCTGAAAAGTCAACATGCAAACAGAGGACACATACTTGTCACATAGAACTCTATAGCTCACAAGGCCATCAATTAAAAACAATTGATTTCAAGACAAGTGTAAGAACAAACAGGTCTGAAATGTATCAAGAAAACAAAATATATTATATATATATATATTTTTTTTAAGCTTGCCATATGGCTAAATATTGCTCCTAGCAATACAACTACTTAAGTCATAAAGAAGTAACACAGTATTTTAATTCAGAAGAGGGTATGTTTATGCACAAATCTTGAATAAATCTGTATTCCAGGACTTTTAAAGACGGGCAGAGTAGTCTGGGAAGTTCAGACCCGGCTGGAGGCTAGGCCAGGGACACCAGCACCATTTTCCTTAAACCACCAGCATGTTACTTGTGAAAAGATGGCATTTAACCTTTGCGGCTCTCTTTTCTACGCCAGGCAGGATAAAGTTGTTTGTCCCTGAACGTCTCAGAAATACACGTAGAGAAGGCCACAGAAAACAAAAGCCTTTTCCCAAAAAAGGCCTTTGTATGTACTGGTTTGATAGCGCAAGAAAAGGAGTGGCTTTGGATTCATAGATTAAAACGTGTCTTTTTAAGGCTTTGGAAAGGTTAGCAAGTTGAAATGTTTTCTTAAATTACAAAGCCCACGCCACACAAACAACTACAGAAGATTAGGGAAATATTCCACCTGATGCTTCTGCAGAGTGTCCGGCATTGTGTGAAGTCCTGGAGAGAAGGACACAGCCCACTAAATGAAAACACGCAGAACGAAAATGTGGATGCTTTGGGGGAAAGAACCAACCCGCCATAAGCTTAAATCTGATTCTTCTGCCCTTGTTAAACTTCAGGAAGGAAAGCTGGCTTGGGCAATCTATTCCTACTCCTTTGTGCCCCAGAATATGTATTCGACAAAGAGTAACATTTATTGACAGAAAAACGATCACAAGAGCTTTTCTAGGACAGTGAGCTATTAAGATCAGAGAGCATCATACAGGAGATAACATGGTAGAAGTCAGTGACAGGTTTGACAGTTTTAGTCTTGACGTTTCGGATGAGCACCCTGTTTTCCGGTCACAGAAAGACCAACCACCACACAGCCAATGCCAGAACCACGAGAAAAGACATCATGAAAGGGAAACGAGGAGGTAGAAAAGTACTAGAGTAGAGGTGGCACTTTTTGAAAGACTTGTGATCCTCGGGGATTGGAATAGAAACCTTGGGAAGAATTTCTTCATTTTCTTGCTGGGGTAAAGCTCTTTCAGGAGATCTCTCTTGCCTTTTAATTTTCTCTTCATCCTGCACTAACAGAGCACGTTCCTGTGTCTGCTTTCACGGTAGAAGATCAAGAAAGACAGAGAAAGATGAACAAAATGACAGATGAGAAATGCTTAAAAGTGATACTTGGGGATGTGCAAAGGATTTGGGAAGGTCTTTTGGACATTCTATTTTACTTTGGCAAATTCCCCCAGCAATGTTTCTATGACAACAGTACTCCATACGTAATTTTTTTTTACTGAATGGACATTAGAAGTCCTGAAAGTTGAAGGAATCATGGACTTCCTTATAGTACTTATTCGCCCTTTGAGGACATTCAGAGAAGAATTTGGGGCCATTTTTCACTACTTTGTTACTACCAGTTTTTCCCAGGTCAGTTGGGCAAAGCCAATAATGAAGCATTCTTCTTGCCATCACAAAAGTCACCTTTATTACAAATAGAATGGTAGAATATAAAAAGTTATCCTCATATCTCTCATATAGATTTTAAAAAACTGTAACAGTTCATTCAATATGGCAATTAGCTTTTGCTCAAGGCAATAAAAATCTGAATCCTTTACATTTTAAAGACTGCAAAGAAAAAAAGTATAAAAGTTCATATGTGTCTCCAAGGTCTACTAAAAAAAACCAAACCCACAAATCTTAACGATGGCAAACTCCCTTCCCCTCTCTCTCAGAATTATGATTAAAAATAATAATGACCATTATGAAGGTTTATACATCACATTAAGCAAATACTTCTGACACTTTTAAGGAAAATTATTTTTTTATAATTGTCCGATTGTAAACCCCCCAACCCCAAAATCTCTGTCCTCTGCCATCCAGTGCAGACAGCTGTTATCTACGAAAGGAAAAACCTGGCCCTCAGTTCTCTCAGCTGAGCCAGCCTTCTCGGGTCAGTCTGGAAGCTCGACACCGGTTCTTTGCACACCCCTAAGTGATATGTATCAGGGAGGAAGTAGCTGGGGGACTGGTCAGCAAAAAAGAAAAAAAAAAAGGAAAAGAAAGGATGCAAAATTATAATAATGATTTTTAAAAGAAAATAAAGGGGAGAAGAAAGACAACATAAAAAGAATAGGGTACAATTAAATTCATTTTTTTTCTCTGAATACATATTTCTATCTTCATGCAGCTTTTCAAACAGCCATGCGCCAAAATAAGCAAATCGAAAGCTGCAAAAGCTGCAGCAGTGGAAAGGTTATGTGTTAGGTCAAAAGGTGGCATATGTGAATCTACTAGTATAGCCAAAAGAAAAAAAAGGTACTCAGCAGCTGCTGTCTGATTCTGGGGGATTATCTGCTTAGTGCCATGACAAGAGCAAACTGTGATTGAGAAGCACAAGTCGTAACAGCAGCTTTACCTCTGGCCCACCAACCTTTCTTTCCGAGGGAAGGATAGAGGTTTTCTTCACCTGGTCATACACAAATTACACACAATTCAGTTGCTTGCAATGCAACAAAAATGCTGTCAAAGGTGGAAGAGGTATCCCCAGAGAACATAAACATTGTCCTAATTATTTTTTAAAAAGTAAGATAGGCCAGAAAGTGGAATTATCCTACGTAAAAGCTTGTGACAGTATAGTTCTTACTTATTCCACTATTCGTTTAGAGGGTGATAAACACAAACGCAGAGCTAAAGTGGCTCGACTATCCCCACCGATCTAATTTAATTTATAAAGAGTCATTTCTTTAAAAGTCCACGGGATGACACAGCCATTCCCCAGAGCAGCCCTGAGATGGTTTCTGAAGGGTTTCCTATTAAGATGTAAGGCATTTTCTGGAACTGGAGACTGATTCAACTTTACCCAACCTCATCGAAGAAAATACCGTTACTTTTTCAAAGCAGTTAAGCATCTTTTATTATATTATATGTACAGACTCCAAAAGAAAACCTCTAGAAAACACACAGTTACCAGGCGAGAGAGCAAGGCATCGTCTCTGTGAGGAGAAAGTCAGTTCAGGGGACATTAGCTGGATTCGGAATACAAAGCCATCGTCCATGTATATCAGGGCACAGAGACCAAGAGGACAGTGGGTAGGAATCACTGCATCCCACCACCTCTGGGAGCTCTATTTAGCTGCCCCTCATTCAGGAATTCTCCACCCTTACTCAGGGAAACTGGCTCGGTTCTGTTTAGTCATTAGCCAAGTTTAATCACATTTTGAAAAATATGAAAAGTACCCTTTGTCAACCAATTTTTATTATCCTCTCCAGTTCCAGAAACTAAATATGTTGAGTAGTTTATCACAGATTCTAAATATAAAAACCAGTTTTTTTTAATTATTAAGACATCACTTTACCTTTCTTAACTAGAATTGTTAATGCTTTGGGGAAAAAACAACCATATAATTTAAAAATCATTACAATCACTCATTGAGTCATTGTGACTATTTATATAAATCTTTAGCCTGCCAGGCTAAAAAGTAAGTAGAGACTTTTTGAATATATGCTCAAGGTAACTTTTTCATTACACATACTCATTTCTTTAGGTGTAGAATTTCTACAATAGGTGATGACAACGATAGAAAAGAACAGCCCCTGAAAGGTATCTAATTGTGACTATGTTACAAAACAGTGAATTAAAAGTTTGATGTTACTCATAAAGATAAAAGAAAAAATCAACAGTTTTTCTAAAATGAAACACAACTATTAATACTTGGTATTCTACATTCTCTGGCTTAGGGGCCTCCTGGGTTTATTATATAATTGTGGTCAACCATTCCAGACATTTCTAAGTTGTGCAAATGTTCAAATAAAGTTTTTTAAAAAATGCGTATTCCTTTCCAATTTTGACCTTACTAAATTTAGTACAATCTCTAGTTCCTGAAGGCACAGTTTGAACATAAAGTTCCATGGGCTTATGGCCAGTTTGCGAGCACACACTCGCGTGCAGCTGCCAAGCGAGTTCTCAGGCCGCTCGCCCACCGGGAGCTCTGAGTGGCTCCCATAACCAGACCGGGTCGTCCACGTGACTCAGCCAACGAGTGTTGGATGAATGCCTGAAAGCTGCCGTGAACTGGTGAGGCACCAAAAATAAATTTCAGCTCTAGACTTTCTCTCAGATACAGGACATTAATATACAAAAACACTTATTTCTCTCATTCTCCCAACTGGTCATGCGGACAAAGTACTCACTCCTTCTCCTGTGGGGATTTGGCCATTGATGTTAAGTGATCGGAACGGCGAGTGAGTGGATAAGCGTTTATCCCATTCACTAGGCCGTGGTTCTGGTACAGACTCCATAAAGTTCTTCTTCAGCTCACTGATGCTGGCGTGATGTTTTTTGATCTCTTCTTGACTTTTTTCTAAATCCTACAGTTGAAAGGACAAAGATGCAAAACAATAAATACCCGGAGGAATGAAAACCACACCAAGGGAAGCCCGTCACAGACTATGGGCACAGGTAGAAAACACACCACATCCAGGAGAGATATTACTAATCCAAAAATTGCATTCAAATTGTAAATATACAACATGGTATATTTGCTTGCTTTTTTTTTTTAAACAAGGTGCTTTTCTTAGAAGCAACGAAGCATCATAACCCCACAGCTCTTAGCAGTTATATAACCCAGAAGGAGCTCACTCAGTTTTGCAACTCTTCTTCCCATTATGACACAGTGCTGGCTCTCCAACTCCTCATCCCAAGAAGGTAATCCCACAACTCAATTGGCCTCAGATTGATATGAACTGATTTAGGCTCAGCTCAGGCAGGATGGAGAGAGCAAAAGACAAGGAGAAACTACTAAACGAAGGACAAGGTGAAAGATTCGGCTTTCCTCACTGACGGCCTTGCACTGGGATAAGTTGCAACTGGACGGTACCCCTCTATTTCTACCTAGAGATAGTTTTGCTTCCCTATTATCAGGGGGCTGTTGTTGGTTTCTGGTAAACAGGAATAGTGCTTTCTTGATATAAGAATTTATTACTGGTACATAAAAGTTGAATCACTATGTTGTACACCTGAAACTAATATAATATTGTATGTCAACTATAATTGTTTTAAAAAAAGATATTCCTCTGGGAGAAAGTGATTGATTCCAAGATTACCAAAAAAAAAAAATGTTGAAATTCATGACTCAGGCCTTCAGAGCAGGTTGTTACTATCTCTGAGTAATTACTCAGGGGTATGTAATATAATGGCTTTTTTCCTTTGCCAATACTACTCACACAAATTAAAAGGCTTGTGCTTTCTAGCTCCTGACAGCTTCACTTCGTTCTTTAGTAGCATTCAAAATAGGGACCTTCTTCTACTAACCTTCAGTGAATGGGGAGTGATTTAACAAGAACTCTTCAAATAGCTTATATATCTCCTTATGATTTAAAATACCTCAACTGGCCCTGGCCAGGTGGCTCAGTTGGTTGGAGTGCTGTCCCATGCACCAGAAGGTTGCGAGTTTGACCCCTGGTCAGGGCACATACTTAGGTTGTGAGTTCAGTCCCCAGTTGGGGCCCATACGGGAAGCAACCAATTAACGTTTCTCTCTCACAGAGATATTTCTCTCTCTTTCTCTCTCTAAAAATCAACAATAAAAACATCCTCTGGCAAAGATTAAAAAATAATAAAAAAATAAAAGAATAAATAAAATACCTCAACTGTCCCAGCAGATTTGCATACTGGACAACTAGGGGTAAGCTCTTCAAGAGTATATTTTAGGGAGAAATGATCAACACTAAGGTTAATAAAGCTAGACATAATGAGAAATATTTAGGTTTACGTAATAGGAAGTATATAACAACTTTCAAAAGGGAGATTGGCCAGAAATAATCTGAGAAATACAACTTGAAGACAAAAACACAAATGTTCTTTGTCCAAAATACTTCTCTGAAAAAACTCAAAAGATCTATGCTTGAGACCAAAATATGTGGGAGCCCGTCACTTGATAACTGCTAAAAATTCTATGTTTATTATATATCAAGGCAGCTCTGTGTCCAAGAAAAGCGTAGTACTAAATATATCTCCTAATATGCTGTGTGAATTTTGGGATTAGTCTTTTTTATTCTTTTAGACTCTGTGGGAAACAGCCTCATTTTGAAAAAAAAAAATGACGCCCATTTCATTAAAAAGTTTCTTTTTCTGGAGCCATTTAGGCTTCAATTAAGTTAAATGTTTTTTTCCAAAGCAATGTCAAAGGGAGCAATAGCATAGGAAAAGAGAATCGGTTGGGACACATGACACAATTTTGATTCTGGAGATATTCATTCAGAAAATTCATTTAATAGTCGATCCTTTCTATTCTTGCAAGAATGAACAATGCGTATTTGCGTTGCGATCATTCCAAGAGAAAACTGGCGCGCAAGGGCAGTCCCGAGGCTCTCTGGGATGAAGAGTGAGCAGAGCTCATGAACCTGGGCTTCCCCATAAGGAAACAGCAGTTCGCCCTCTCGTTCTAGCTGAAGGCGAGAAAAGCATATTCTCTAGCTAAAGAGACGCCGTGAACCAGCGCAGTCAGAGACTCAGTAGGAGGCTGAGCAACTGAGAACCACCAGGCTCGGAAGGCCCTGTGTGTGACCCAGCGCCTGACTGGAAATTAAATCTGCTTGGGCCAAAAACAACCTAACGTTTCAGGGAGAGTTAAAAGTGTGAATGGAGCAAAACAAAAATGAGCAAGAGATGCTATGGTAAAACCATAACCCTCCAGGTTAGCCTTTTAACATGAGAGATTTGTGACTCTTCTTGGCTAGCTTTTCACTGGCTGGAACCTGAGGAAATAAAGGTTTCGGTAACATCAGTAGCTTCTGAGGGAGCTTTCTCCATCCTTCTTAGCTGGCTCTGTTGGAAACCTGTGGGGGCACAGAGTAAAATTAAGATCTCAAAGGGACCTGTTCCAAATAGAATTCGTCATAGACACTTGCTACCAGTTCCCTCTGGGAGATGGAGGAGGAGGCGGTACATCTAAAAATGAACTCGACCTTATTTGTGCCAGAACAAAGCATTAGTGGGAGTGGGGGAGGAGTAAGGGAAGGAATGCTTAAAAAAAAAAAAAAAACTGCCAGAGTGACAGATAGGTTGAGAGAACTTCCTTAGGAGGAACGAAAAAAAACCCAAACTTTTACAATAACTAGAGAATGATGGTTAGCCAAACTTTAGCCATTTTCAGGTTAGACACTTTTTGATGCCTATCATATTATAATTTAAGCAGCAATCAAACCAAACCATTTAATATGAAATATTCTCAAAAGGTAGTTAGTAGTTTTAATTTTCAAACACACACTTATTAGAAATCCCCTCTCACTGCTGTCAATGAAATGCTGGGGAAGAACACATCACACACAGGGACTTCGTGAGTCTCAGAAGCCATAACACACCTCGTGGAACAAATGAAAATATATGATTGGTACTGCAGGTTCCAGGTAAGAGGAAGCACTAGAGATGGACTAGCCAAGAAATAGACATGTTTAAAATTGGGAGATGTTGTATCGCTGAGTTCAAGAAGATCAGCTGACTCTGTCATTCTTCCTAATCTCAGAAGAGGAACCATCCAGGTGTGGTTTCAGTTCTGGGCTAAAGCAAAGAGATCTAGTCGCCACGTTTGAAATGTCTTAGGGTTAGCCGTGACCTCGTGTTACACAAGGTCAGTGTATGTAGAGCACTTGGTTTGTGCCCGCCACCCAGGATGCGATCAATGAAGGCTGGCGATAATTTGTGTTACTTCCATCAAAGTACCTCAAACATAGCAGGCACTTAAAATATACACTTTGACAAAGAATAAGATGAGCTTAAGTAATTAGTAGAGACCATTACATTAAATCAGGTATCTATCTCAGGAAGTTTTTTCACACTTCCAGATTAATAACATTGACCACATTTAACACATGTTCATCTTTCAGGTCTCAGTGAAAATGTCTCTTCAGAGAGAATTTCCTGCCCATTTTATTCCGAGTAGATCCCTTTCATTAGCACAGCCTATGGGTTATTTCCTTGTTTTTATTACAACTTGTAATCATTTTATTGCTATTTGTTTACTTATCGTTTTTCTCCTCCCCACTCCCCCACGCTGTGAGCCTCCTGAAGGCAGGAACCATGTTTACCATCTTCCTATATATTTATATTTCCTTTATATCTAAGTTAAATCCCTGATATCAGAGTCTGTGCTCATTTCTTTTGGCTCTGTCTTGAGCGGAACTGCAAAATAGTCTGGCCATCAACTTTTATATAAGAGTTTTTCAACATGTAACCTAACACGGACTCAGTTTTTTCCACACAGAAAAATTCTAATTTCCTTAATTTTTCCTCATGGAGTTCCCTGAATCTTCTAATGAGTTTTACATGTATATCTCTTCATCCAATGTGGAGAGCCCCAAACTAGATAAAGTATGCAACATAACTCCGGTAAAAATCTCACCAATGTTGAATGTAGCAGGAAAATGACCTTACAGTGGCTACAGCAGACAGTATGTTGCTATTTCTGAATGGGTGGGGGGGAGAGGGGGGAGAGTAGTTTAATAGACTAGATAGGCCCTATCTGAAATCCTGGCTTTACCAATTTACCAATTCTGTGACCACAGGGAAATCAACTAATTTCTCTAAGCCTTAATTTTCTCATCTCTAAAATAACAATCTCACACCTACGCACCTGTTTCTATGATTAAACTATCTTCTGTCATACTAACTACTCATTACATGCTAAGCTCCCTCCTTTTCCTTCCTGCCTCTCACTTTTCCCCTCCGACTGTCTTTCTGTCATTGTCTGGTATCCCCAATATTTTAAGCCCACTTTGAATTATGATCACGTATCTTACTTTTCCAGTTCAAAAGATAACGAATTTGATGCTTGGAAAATTTGAAAAATTTTCTAAGAGCGATAAAAATTTTCCAGAAGTCAATAAAACAATGGAACCAGAAGAAGCAAAGGTAGTCCCAATCATATATTTTTTAGGCAAGTATGAGAGATGGAAGCTAAAGAGAAATCACGTGAGATGGTTACAGATCTTCATGTTCACCAACATGCAAAAGCACTTGAAACCTAAAATTCTCCCATGCAATGGCATGCAAACCAAATGCGGCACAGAAAGAAGAAAGGGGCATCAGCGGAGAATGCAGAAGGTTACAGGCAACCAACTGAAATAAGCTTCAAGTTCATACAAACCTCCAACATTAAATTGCTATGTCTGATATAAATGTTTTCACCATCTAGTCTCTCTCTCTTTTTCTGTGAAAATGAAAGAGGGGAAAAACAGAAAAGCATAACAAATTAAAATGTCGTTCTTGCGGGCAAAAATTGCAAATTGGCAAACCAAAAGTTATTCAAAATTAAATGTCCACAGCGCAGCATATGCCAACACGAAATGGTCACAGAACACAGAGACACACCGAGAACACAATTACCACGGAGAACGGATGGCCTTGTGCATGAATGATGGGAGGGCGTGATGATGCTATTTAAATAGACAGTGCTCCTGGCTTCACTGGCTTCTTACATAACACGCTGTTTCGTGTTCGTTCCTGAAGCTGAGCTGTTGAGGGGTTTTCTTAAAATACATGATTTTAAGAAGGTTTAAAACTCCATGTTCTACAGAGTAGAGGAATACTTTAAGACATTTGTTTTTTGACAAATGCCATACTCAGCAATACTGCAGTATGTACATCTCTAACCCTTTCCATGAGAGAGATCTATGGGCATTTTATACATGATCATTCAATATCATAGTCAGCAGAAACCAATTCGCCCCACTCTGTAGCTGGGAAGAAAGAGGCGCAGAGCAGCCAAACACAGAGTTATTAACAACACTGGCAGATGTCAGGATGGTTTCACAATAAATATGTATAAAATATTGCCAACGATTTCAAGAACATGGTGCCTTGTGGAATATTTCTTATAAAGTTTAATAAAGGATAGGTTCAATCTTTACTAATTCTTTCATGTTTCAAAAGATATTTTCCTACTGGAAAAATTTTCAATATATAGTAAAGGTTTATAATTTCTTTTGCATACATATGCATGTGCATATATGCATATATACACATACGTCTATCTGCTATCTGAAAGCAATGTCTGATTAAGAGAAATCAATGAGAAGAATGGATCACTGTCTTTTTAATGCACTGTAAAAGTCAGCATGGGTGATGCTAATGCAGTTTTGTGAAGTGAAAAATGGCTAACCTTCCTCATTCTTATCAGATCTTCAGTTTTTCCTGCAAGCTTCTGTTTTGCCATTATTAAAAAAAAGAAAGAAAAATGATAAAATATTGGCTCATTGAAGTTTGTCTGAACCTTTGTTTTACATTTTTTTAAGGGGGGGAGGGAGGGGGACGCTGAGGAGGGAGGGGAGAGGAGCGAGCGGCCTGCTGGCACAAACCTGCACTCGGTCACCATTCGAGGTGGGGACTGTGACCTCGATGTGGGTTTTTTCCACCTACATTTAAGAAATAAAGTGGTAGAAACATTTCAGGTTAGTAGGTTTCTATGAGTAGCATTGTTTCCAAATAAGCCGCATCTTTAAGCTGGTTGTGAAATAAGCTGATAGGTAGTCACCCTGAGGCAGCCCTTAGGAGGTGTCACAGGGAGGGAGGTTACCCTCAAGGGTAACCTGTTAGTTCACCAGCACGTTTTCAAGGCTGGAGACATAATATGGACAACCAAACAAGCAAAAGAGAAAATTGAGGTAATTATTCTACTGATGTAGCAAATATTATATACTTATTTATAAAAAAGTACTTATTAAAGGTAATAATTAGGCTTAAATAAGCTATGTGTTTTTGTGTTGCTTTTTAATGACCTGCGAGTTCCTTAAGTAACATTTAAACACAAATTCACAAATGAAGATATTCATGTACCACATACAAGATAGTTGGAAACAGAAAGAAAATCTCTGCAGTTAAAGCACACGAATAAAATAAATAAACCACATATAACACCAAGCAGGTAAAAATACAAAACATTTTGTTAAGTGATCAATATATTTAAGGAGGCAGTTTCATCCTCGAGTTTATTAGACAACAAAACATCAAAACAAACTTAATCCAAATTGCTACTGACGCATGCAGCTGTTACCAAGGGCGGTTTATGCGCACGCACACAGCGCCCAGCTGCGATTTTCAGCGCACTGTCATCTCCCCTCTGGGGAGTGGGGCCCACGTGTTGGGTGAATGGGGAAGATTCCTCCTTCATACTAGGGAGAGAATAACTAAGGCTCCTGCCTAACTTTGAAATATCTGTGTAATAGTCATTTTATATACCCCAAATGGAATAAGTATAAATTAAAAAAACCTACACAGACTATTAACAGGAAGCATAATAAAGTGACCCATGCCTAATACACTGGGTATCTCAAAACGAGAAACTGTTTTTTATGAAGGGTCAACTCGGTCACTTTGTATCATTAAGTTATTTATAGAATCACATCACTCAGTCATTTTGACACACTTTTTAATCATGCTTGGCAGCGTTACTTTGAAGTACAATGTCCCTGGGCTATCTTCTCTAGGACTGAACATGAAGAACATAGAAGAGCACCAAACCCTGAGACACTGGCACGTCACCAGCACATCCAGCAGTAGCACTGTTAACTACCAGAGGTAGTTAATGAACGATTTGGGTCAGTTCTACTCGGAATCTCAGGATACTGGCTGTGCGGCCATTAGCAAGTTACTTCGCCTCTGAGTTCAAGTTTTGTATTGATAAAATAGAAACAGTATCTTCACAGAGTTGTGAATGCGTAGCAAATGGTAGTTTATAATTATTTTGTAAAGCTTAACTTGCTTATATAAATGAATAATGACTTTTTTGCTTTGGGTGCTTAGCAATCCAACAGCAAGAAATTGAGAATCTCTGCTTCAGTGTAAGAATAGAGGCCCAGTGGCAACAGCAGGCACCTCTGTGTGTGCCTCCAGAGAACACTGAATGGGATAACGAGGTACACACTGCAAAGCAGGTCTTGCCAAATGCCTCAAGATGCCAAAAAGCTCTAACTGGCATCAACTTGGTGTTAGATAATGAAATTTACAGTTACACTTTAATAGTAATAATATTATTATTGCTCCATGCAATAAATATTGCTTCAGGTAAATTCCACAATTATTTTCTAACTGCTACAAATAAAATCAACTCAGAGTTACTCTTAATTATGTTACTATTATTATGGTAACATAAGGTTATCAGAGGTGGCTTCCAGTCTGATCTCTACACAAGTATCTCAAAAAAATAGAATACAGAACTAAGTGGGGAGCAAGCACTTAAATGGGGAGTATATACCAGAAAGGGATCTCTCCACTCTGCCAAGGTCCCAAGAGCAAAGAGAACCTTTCTTGAAGGTACTTGTGTCTGCTTATAGGCAAAAGAACAAGCTAGCTGAAAGCCAAAGGAACCTTAGCTACTTAAAAAGAGTCCCTTACTCACTCCAGTAAAATCTAACACTTCCCAGTTAGTATGACAGTTGAAAGTGCCAGGTGAGAGACCCTAGCATTAAAGACTGCAGTTGACACTGACCCCGATGGCTGCTGCCATGCGCACTTGGCTGGCTACAGAAACGCAAACACCCACCCTTCAGTCAGTTTTTTCCCTCTCTGGACTCAAGTTGGTGTCAAAGGACAATAAAACTACATGTCATATTGAACAGTTTTTTTAAGCATATTTTACTGATTATGCTATCACTTTTCCCAATTTTTTCCCCTTAATCCCACCTCCACCCTGTACCCTCCCCTCCAGCATCCCGCCCACCCCACCCCCCCGTTAGTTCATGTCCATGGGTTGTACATATAATGAACAGTTTTTTTAATACGGTCAAAACAGAGCCAGGTTGGCCTCTGCTCTACAGATAAACTAAGGAGTGAACTGACTCCAAAAGAACAGGATTAATCCGTCTGCCAAGGTGGGAACACTTACTAAGATCTTACATGGTTTTAAATTTCTTAACAGATATACAAACGCCATTTTTCTTAGAAAGACTGTGTCTATTAATTCCTGATTCAACAGTGAGACTTGCATGTGCTATGTTCCACTGAGTCTGAACTAGTGCCTCAACTCCATCACTGCTCAAATGTGTTCAAAAGGCTTACCAACACATAAAAGATCAGTCCAGTTACTGTTACTCCTGGGAAATCTAATTAAATCGGTAATTTTTCAACGAGGTTCAGTGACTAAGGGTACAACCAAGTCCGAACTGTAAGCAAGTCAGTAGTATAACCTCTCCTGCCTGACAGGACTCCCCCCATTTTTAAAGCTACTTAAGGCTTCAGCAGCCGCACAGATGTGCTTCATGCAGCACCCAGGCACGCTCTGGCTGTGCGACACACATTTCCAACTTCGGGAAACCGAACTGTAGCTCAGCTTACTCTTAGAAAGGAATGTGGAGATTCCTTCTGGGCGAGTAAAACTTAACTTTTAAGAGCATACAGTCACAGTGCTACCACGTTTTATGGACTTCATTTTTTTAATATAAGAGTTTGGTAAAGGTTGGGTCACGTGAAAACTTCTCTGGGACAGCTTATAGTCTCCATGACATAATTCTATGGACGCATTTTACAGGTTCATGGGAGATACCCTCTTCCAGAAAGAGTGAGGAAGAAATGACTTCACCAGGACCCTGTAAGCATCGGCGCTTTGAAAACCTGCCTGGTCAAGGAGTTACCACCTGGAAAGCAGAAAGCGAACTTGCCAGATCCCGGGACTCAGGACGTACCTGCCATATCTCCGTGGCCGCCGACTCGGCTGGCTCAGGAGGCACTTCTTCCTTTTCCACTTCAGCCTCCACGGTTTCCTCCTGCTCTTGAGAAGCCCCTGTTTTCTTGGCGGGGGCACCGGGCACACTGCCTTCCGCGTCCTGCCGCTGCGCGATGGCTGGGGCAGAGGTGGGCCGAGCGCTGCGGTCCGTTGCATCCACGGCCGCTGCGATGTGAGAAAAGGGGAAGAGAAGAGTGAGTGAAGCAGGCGAGGGTCGCCGCACCACTTCACAGTCACCAGGTGGCACACACGAGTGCTACAGTGTCCAGTGGACTATCACACGGAAGGTATAAAAATAAGTCATCAGTAGTGCTCTGCCAGGTAACTGGTGGCAGTGAGAAAGCTAAAATAGAAAAGTTAAAATGTGCCGGCGATCGTGTTCCGGACGGGACTGTGGGTGGAGGTGCTGACATCAAAATAAGAAAAGAAACTGAAAACTCACTCTATTAAAACATCAGCAACTGTTTAACCTTGCAATGTGTTTGTTAGTTTTAAGAACCTATAACGCAGTCTATGTAAGGGGAAAAGTTAATTAAGTTTATTTCTTCCATAAAGCCTTTTTGAAATAAAGATTTATTCACTTTTTGGTAATTTCATGAACCTAAAAATATGTTTTAGTAAAAAGGATTAAGCCTGATTTCTTCTGTTATGGAATGATTACAAAAGAACTTGATAAATGGATCTTCTAAGATGTGTATACTTTTGATGATTGTCTAAGGGCAAATCTTTGAATGGAAACACTTTGCTTTTTAATAAGTCATTTGATTAACATAATGTGAATTCAAAACATTTGGCCATTAGTCTTTAAAATAAACAATGCCCCACGGCCAGCCTTTTGAGTTCTGTTCTACTATCTCCTCGAGTCTTATCAGCTTGCACAGAACTCCTGTTCTCTAGTATATTCAGGCAGCGGGTCTCAACCAGAGGTGATTTCACCCCCGCCACCCCTAGCAGTGTCTGGACATGTTTTCAGTTGCCACGCCTGGGAAGGGAAGTGGGAGGGGGCACGGGCACCCACTGTGCACAGGCCAAGGTTGCTAAAGTTAAGAAACCTCAATTCTGGAAAAGGGTTTTATGTACAGACTATTTTAGAGAGAATATTCAATGTAGGTTTATGATAAAATTTGATCTTTTCACAGAGTTCATATTTCTTTTGGTTTGGACTATTTGGCATCTTGGTTTAAGATCGCTTACTTCAAAACAATCACTGACACTCTTATGATTTTTATCTTTGTTCTTCCAGGGGCCAGAAGAAAACATCTACACACTTTGCAGTAAAACCTCACTTCTCTGGCAGTGTCTGGGGTTGCAGTGTTTCCACACGGTTTAATATTTCTGATAACAAATTACCCTTTCACGTACTGACAGGTTTAAATTTTAACTATTTTGCATGAAAACCTCTACATTTTGTTTTTTTAAAGATTATTTTATTTATTTTTAGAAAGAGGAACAGAGGGAGAAAGACAAGGAGAGAAACACCGATGTGAGAAAGAAACATCAATCAGTTGCTGCTCATTCATGCCCCAACCAGGGACCAAACCCGCAACCCAGGCATGTGCCCTGACCAGGGATCGAACAAGCAAACTTACGCTTTGCGTGATGATACCCAACCAACTGAGCCACATCGGTAAGGGCGAAAACCTTTACAATTTTTATGACACATTTTCCTGCCTGTTAAACTGAGTATACTGAACTTAATCTATTCTGATAAATTTAGATTTATAAACAGTAAAGATTAGATAAAGAAAATCCATGAATCAGAACAGATTAAAAAATTAAAATTCACGACTTCATTCAGACAACACCAAGAAAGAAATGCCCTGCAATGAACTCCAGTGAAAGAAATCATTCCTCAGACATACATTAAAAAAAAAAACAAAAAAGACAGAAACACAAGAATCTACCTTATCTTTCAATGGAAACTGCCCTGTTGCAAGTCCCTGCTACTCCTGGGTGCTCTAAGCCAATCAGTGCAAGAATGGCAGATGGCAAACCAAACCCAACAACACAGGGGAATGTGACAAAATATTTTGCTCACAGTTGTGTGAAAGTATCATTATACATGTGTATTCACACCTCCTCTCAAAGAATTAATTCAACTCTGACTGGCATCAGAGAAACGCAGCCCATGCTTCCACCATGTGTTATTTTGCCACTTGCATTTGGTTGTAATCCAATCCTAATACTGCAGAGCCAAACGATTTACGTCTCCAGCATTCCTAGCCCTGGCAATCTGTACCACATGTGGAAAAGCAGATAGAAGTGTGGAAACTGGCAGTTGGAAACAGAGGCAGAAAGTTTCATCATTTGTAAAATGTGGAAGATATTAAGTCCATAGAATAGTGGGGGAAGGCATATTCAATGGCTATACAAATAGTTAACAAATCCTGCCCTGGCCGGTGTGGCTCAGTGGATTGAGTGCCAGCCTGCAAACCGAAAGGTTGCCTGTTTGATTTCCAGTCAGAGCACACGCTTGGGGTGCCTGCTACAGGCCCTAGCTGGGGGCGTGCAAGGAGCAACGGATGTATCTCTCACACAAGCAACCAAAGTCTCTCTCACACATCGATGCCTCTCTCCCTCTCTTTCTAGCTAAGGAAATAAATAAATATCTTTTGAAAATACTTAATAAACCTAAATATTAATAACTTTTAATGTCATACCTGAGTCTTTGTGTTTCTTTTGTTTGGGTTAATATTATTTCAAGAGCACGTGGGGCAAAAACTATGTATACACAAATATGCAATCCAAGTGAAAGATATAACTTGGGAGCCCTAGAAAGAGGCAAATTTCTTTCCTCTTTTCAGTAAGAAGACTACAAACCATGGACCACAACAGAGAATCATGGTCGTGTCTCTGGTTGTTGAGATATAATCCACATACCATGCAATTTGCCCATTTAGAATGCTCAGTTCAATGGTTTTTAGTATATTCACAGTGTTGTAGGTTGTGAATATTTTTAAAGATGTTTTGGTTCTGCAGTTTTATGAATTCATCTGTTAACTATTATAAGATCTTGATGCATATGCAGAGAACACATGACCTAAAAATTCAAATATTTCCCATAGCTAAAGAGTACAGTTTGTGATAACCTTATGGACCCATTCATTCCAGTATTATATTGCTCCTGCCTAGCAATAGAAACTTAGATAGTTATACATCAGAGCAGTAAAGAGTAAAACTCAAAACCCTCACGCTGAGTAAAAGGAGACATAAATTCCTAGCTCTGAAATTTACTAGCACAGTTTCTGCTAGTATAGTACAGGCAGAACAGGTAGCAACGAATCAGTTTTTCCGTGATCGGAGGGACCCGACAGGAATCATCTGTGATCTTAAAAACAAAACAGAACAAAAAAACACCGATGCTCGGGCCCACCATAGACAGATGAGATGCCTAAGAGTGAGGCCTGGGCATTTGTTTTCAAGCCCCGAAGATGATAGGCATGTATGCGTCTGGCAAAAATCGCTGCAACCACTACTCAATGCATGGATGAACTTTCTGGCTGTGTCACCCCAGCAAGTGATATAACTTTTTCTGTGTCCTAGTTTCCTCATGAGTGAAACAAGCATTCCTAAATACTTCTTGGCACTAGGTGGTTGTTGGTATTAAATAGGAATATATGGAAATGGTTTGAAAAGCAACAAGGACAACAAAAATGTAAGTTGGAAAATCCTCGTCATCACTAGTAGCCATCCTTGCGACTACTGTATAAAGTGGGATCTGAACTGGCTGCAGTTCTTCAGCTGGTGAGGCAGATGCTCTGAGCACCAGAGGGAACAACAACACTACTTTGCTTCCTGCCTTCTGAGCGTCTTTACTGGCCGCCTTTTTTCTTCAGTGGCGTAAAGAACCAAATATGGCTTGTTACTTCATTTCAGGAATGCTCACATATCCTTGAGACTAAACTTAGAGAAATTCAGACAGATCTTCTGTCAGAATACACAGTCACGAAAAGTACTGCCTCACTGTTTTATTTAAACAAAATTTGGAGACCCCAGTAACAGGACCGCTTTTCCTGTTCATAATTGCCACAGGACAAGTGATTCAAACTTTTTAAATCATTGCTCTAGTGAGGCAGACCCTTTTCCTCTTTCCTACTGGAAAAAAATAACTATGTGGCAACATCCAGGAGGGCTTTATTTCAGTACACTACGTTAGGTTTTCACTGTGGTAGGCACTCTGGATTCTAGTTCCAGTCGGGTTCATCTAGTACTGCCTGCCAGTGGAACCTCGGTCTAGTTACTACTCTCTCTGACCCTCACTTCTCCTTTTCTTAAGATGATTCCACCGACTTAGACAATTAGTGAGATCCATTTCATTTTGCCACTGACTTTCTTCAATTTGGCTCTCTCATAGATACCTGCACTTCCTTTATCTCTCCCTAAAGAGTTGGGGCCGTAAGCAATCACCAAAATTCAGTACGAACCTCCATCAAGGCTCCGGGACGCGCGTTTGCTTGCTGTACGCTCGAAGTGAGGGGCGGGCCTGTCGATCAGAGCGCTGGCTTGCCTGGTCTGAGCCTGAGTTCGACCGCTGTATCGAAATTTGGATCCCAGGGCAAGAAATTTGCTCTTAGGAATGGTGTCTGTAGACGTCAACCTGGGGGCAGAAAAAAACCATAACGATCATATAGTATATATTTATTTCACTCCAATGAGATGGTGAGATCAAAGACAAAAATTTAGATTTTTAAAAGTTTCAACATTCTCAAAGTTTCCTTATAGTTAGTAAGAGAGATTTCAAATCAATCATCATTATTTTAATTCTATGTCATTTCTCAAAGCGATATATCATTCACTTGTGGCCTATAGTAATAATGTTATCTTACATAAATAGGGCCTTATGGTTTTCAAGCACTTTTGAAGCACCGTAACGTTTTCACTACGTCCCGTAATATTGTCATGATTTTAGAGATCCAAGAAACTGAACCTCAAGAAGTAAGTTACTTGTCTAAGGTCACATGGTTGTTAAGAGTCTGGGCAGTAACAGAGGCCGAGGCCAGAGCTCTTTTTCCACTCCACTAGAACCAGTCTGTCAAGCACACTCCAAACCCCATTAATGCCCGGTAACCTATTTAATAGGTTATCTGATGTATTTTCAACTCAGTTAGGAGCCCCGTCTTCTTTTTATGCAGGACCCCAGGCTCTCTTTTGTAGTGGCATGGACTGCACTGAATTGAAACAATTTGTGTGCCGGTCTCCACTACCAGACTGTGAGCTCGCTAAGGGTGAAGGATAGAGACTATGACTTACTCTTCTCGGTATTTTCACCTCTGGCATAGTGCCTGGCATGGATTTGGCACTCAACAAATGTTTGCTGAATAAAAACTTACTACATCAATTACTATAAAAAAAGAGTATTTTTTTCCTTGGAGATAGTTCATTTTAATTCAGCAAATACCAACTTTCTTTTAAGCAATGGAGCATTACATGTTAATATATCCTTTTTATTTTGATGCAATGGATTTAAACATGCTATCCCCCAAGTAAATTCATTGGCTGCAGCTAAAATATATACCATAGATATTAAACATTCAAATAACTTTTTTCACTTTTCCTTACCTTTTTTCAAACTTCTATTTTCTTGGTTTGATTTTAAAGAAGAGGAAGATGAAAGCATAAAAAAGTATCTTAATGCCAATAATTAAGATTCTTTAATTGGCTATAAAATGTACCCTCATGTTTTATTTGAAATGAGAATCAATGTTATTTTCCCTGACGTTTCTTCCTGACCACTGTGCTAGAGCACTACGCATGACATGAAATTACAAATAGAAGGAAAAGGTATTGTGATTCTCTCTCTTGAGAGCCATTCATGCACTCAAATTTATTTATGAATGACATGACATGAGGTCTTGGATTTACTTCAAAATAACCTGGGAAGCAGTGGGAAGAAGTGGGTGGGGCTGTAGATAAACCGAGACTGGCCTTGGGGTGAAAATTACTGAAGCTGGGCGACAGGTCCCGGATGAGTTCATTACTCTATTGTCTGTACTGTTGTTATGTATGCAATTTTCCATAATAAAAGAACTTGTCTTTAAAAGGCAAGCTGACCATAAAAAGCTGGCTCTCCTTTCAATACAAGTAATTATTGTCCATGGTCTGTATTTTCTGCTAGACTTCAGTTCTTGTGTTATATTCTCAGTGCCTACTACAGTACCTACACAAAGGGGAAGCACAGAGAAAATGCTTGGTAAATGAATACAGGGAGTTAATGATATGGCCTCTTGAAAACCAGAGGAGACAAAAACTTTTTTCTACCTCCTGATTATTTGATACAATTGGGCTTCAAAGATGGTTCTCTTTGCTCCCTTCCTGGGCGTGGTTAGGGCCAAGATAATGATCAGTTTCATATCTTTAACCTTCCAGTAAACACCCCACAGAAAGCAGTCAGGCATTGCTTAGAGAGACTGCATGCGGAGGTAAGTGCGGGTACCTCCTCCAGAACGAACAGACTGATTTCAGCTCCAGTTAGGGCAATCACAGAGCCCCTATAAACACAGGGTCCTAGTGCTCACTTCTCTTGTTCTTCTACCGTACACAGAAAGGTGCTCTGGGAGTGTTGAGGCATGATTTTCAACCCAAAGGAGAAATGGATTCATTTTGTCTTGCTTAAGATGATCTTACCTGAGCTAAATAAAAGAATGCCAGCCACACAAAGAAGGGAATTTTAATAGCAGGCTTAAAATAGAAACATGCACAAATAATTTATCCTTGAAAAACACTTAAGTGGGAAGAATACCTGAAAAATGTGTGATGCTCTACACAGACTTTCCATAATTTCTTAGCTGCTCGGTAGCTGGGGAGTTTGAATCCAATGGTACTTTCATACTGTTCTTGCTATAAAAACACAGATAAATATAGAACATAAAGGATTACTTGACTACAGTAATACAGGACCAGAGAAATATGGTGCTATGGAAAAGGTCATCAAGAATAAAAACAACATTCCTCATCTAAAGACATAAAATACTTGAAATTTTCCCTACTTACAAAAAGAAATATACTTACCGAGGTGACTTTTTCCACAACCAGGAAGCCAGGGAATGCATCTTATTTTGTTCAGAAACACACACGCACACAGAGCACATTTTTCTGAGCCATAATTAAGTCACCTTTTGACAGTGCAGACACTGCCCTTCCATAAGGTCACCGCCTGCACTTGGGATGCTAGACTACTTCATGCTCAGGGAATGCCATAGATACGATTCCTCCAATCAATATTATTATGCAGTCCTCTTTTTTTTTTGTAATAGGAACTAAAGATTAAAGATTTTGGCTCAAATCAATTCTTGAATTATTGTCTTCTCTTTATATTCTTTTGGTTGATCATTAATCTATCTCAATACTTCTTTTCTTTCTTTTTTTTTTTTTCATCTGCACCAGAGGACATTTATTTTCATTGCTTTTTAGAGAGAGGGAGGGAAGGAGAGAGAGAAACATTGACTGGCTGTCTCCTGTATGCACCCAGTCCAGGGAAATCAGACCCGCAACCTAGGTATGTGCCCTGACTGGGAATCGAACCCTCAACCCTCTGATTACAGGAACATGCTCCAACGAACTGAGCCACACCAGCCAGAGCTATCTCTGTACCTCTTTGACTGAAGCAAACCCTATCCTGCCAGGGCTACTAGAAACACTGTCCTGCTGGTCCCTTGCTTCTTTGTTTCTGCCTTAGCATACTTAAAATGGAAAGGAAACTAACATTTATTTCTAGTGCCCATTATTGCCAACGACAATATGATGAGATAGTATTACACATGAAAAAGCTGAGGTCAGACAAGTTACTTCTCAGTCTCACAGGTATGAAGTGGCAGAACCAGAATTTCATGGTTTCCACTAAACCATGCTACTTCTGAATCATCTACTGTAGTCATAATACTTCACTGCTCAAAATCCTACTGTTGTTTCTGATTGCCTTCTTAAAGTAAGGATGCTGTATTTTCAGTATACAGTATAGAGTTGACATTTAAAGAAACCAAGGACTTCAACTATCAAACTTATTAAAATTTGTGTGCATGTGTATGTATATATATATGTATAAATACATAGAGCCTCTGCCTTCCCACATTAAAATGTAAGATTGTTGAGAGATGGACTCTCTCATTCACTGTTCCTCTCCCCGAAAATAGTGCCCGGCACAAAGAATGCCATCGATTAGTATCTGTTGACTAAATGACTTTTGGATTTGAAACTCTTCATTGGAAGACAGTGATTGCTGTGACAGGCACAGGCAAATAATTATGGTCGTAAGTAAATGCTTCAGTGATAATCCTTATGAGACTTTTAATGTTGCACGTTCAGTATTTTGATGCTCAAATAATGAGACATTTTCACCAGCAGGTGGTGATATACACACAAAAGCCACTTTACATTAGTTGGATGTTTTCCTGCTTATATCGTTTGCAGCTGTCATCTCGTTTGATCTCCAACTCTGACAGAGAAAGTATTTACCCGCCTTGAATGATAAAGAAGCTGAGCTTTAGATTTCTCCAGGGTCTTTTATTTAGTAGGTGGCCAAGTAGGAGCTAGAACTTTTTTAAACATTTAATTCCTACTTGAACAATTTTCCACTATACCATGATTGCTCTTTAACATAAAAGTTAAATTTGGTCAGCTTCAGTATATCCTAAAACTTGCCCACCAACTAATAACTGAATTATCTGACACAAAGTTAAATAACTCTATTAGAAATCTACAAGTTGGCCCTAGAATATATTCCCAGTAACTACTTAGAAGCTACACATACAAATGTATTTTAACTATATGAGGTAAGAGATTGGTGATACAAACCTAACTTAACCCCACAATTTAAAAATGTCATGCTACTTAACTGCAAACTATTTTCTATCAAGATTTTACCTAGAGTAAATGACCCAAGTTTCACTTCTGGCCATGGTATGTTTACTTACATAAAGAGGAATGCCCCAAAACCAGTGGTAAGGAGGAGAAGCCTTACAGGACTGATTTAGAAAACAGAGCATCAGCTCCTGCATCCTTAACTATAGAGAACTCTTAGATGACAAAACAAGTAAAACAGGAAGGAAGAGACATTTTAGACATGATCTGTGTTTGATTCAGGAAGAAAGAAACACAAGTTCTGTACCTCTCCAGGCCGAATCTTGATGAAAAAGCTGCTACGTTTATAAGAAATCTTCAGCACTTTGGGCCAAGGAAAGCGGTTAATTCTCAGCTTATCTTTGTAAACCAGAAGGCCGCTAGAGCAGACACCCAGGATGATATCCACTCCCTCCAAGTCCTGAAAGAGAGAAGCGTTAGCATCTCGTTCTTGAGCAAAGTGCTCAACACACTGTCGACTCTTACTAGACAATCGGAAGCCATCAACAACCAAAAACAGTAATAATCACAACCCATGGGACTATTCGACCTATGTAAAAATGTCATTACTCTGCCACTTTAAAAAAAAATCAATGTTATTACCTATTACAAATATCTTTAAATGTCCAAAATAGACACAATAATTCTATTTCTGTAATCTGTTCCAAGAAAATAATGCAAATCACAGAAAATACTTTATACAGGAAAATGTTCAGAATGTTATAGGAGTGAAAAACTGGATATAACCTAAGTATTTGAGCACGAGGGTTACATTATTGTCCATCCTTTGGTGAAATAAAATGTGGCCATTAAAATAAGTCCATAAAATTTGGGAGATAAATGGGAAAATAATTGTTTTGTAATGTTAAGTGAAATAAAGCAGGTTAAAGCTGCATATACAATTTGATCCCAACAATATAAAAATATACATAGAAGAAAGATGAATATACCAAAATGTTAACAATGGCATTTTTTAGGTGGTACAAATTATGAGCAATTTTTTATTTTAGTTTTCTGTACTTTCCAATAATAAAGAATATGTGATTCTTAAAAACATTTAAACATCACAAAAACTTATATATGTGTGTAAAAAATTCAAACAATACAGAAGTGTGTAAAATAAAAGTAAAATTCTACCCTCTCTTCCCACACTCCTTCACAGTAACCAGTAATAACTTGATAATTTCCAGGATTATCATCTTATTTTCTAGGTATATACAAATATGTTTAGGTAAGACATACACACATACCTATTACTAATAGTTATTATATTATATAATTTAGATACATATATATCACCTTTCTAATCAGGAAAACAATGAGGAAAAATTACAGTCCAGTCCTTGAGGGTAGAAATTGTAGCTTAATCATTTCTGTATCACCCCGAATACTGTCTGTTATTGACAACATACTCAATAAATGTTTACATTAAATTTGTTACCTGCCTACATTATTATTCATAATTTATTATGACAAATATCAGTAAATTCTTTGTCTCTGATTTACAACACTTTTGAATCATTGAGACTGACAAATTAAAGAATTTCATAGTATTTTAGTAACAAAACACATTAGGCTTAAACCTTTGATCATTAGCATAAATTATTCCATTCATTACTAGTGACTCTGAGCGAACGTCAGCTCTTCTCTTGTCCAAGAACATGTCTCACACCCTGGAGGGAGCAACTGCTGGAGGGAGCAATACAGCCGCCGCCGCCACCTCTCAAAGCCGCGTGAAAGGTCGCTGGGCTTGCGTCTCACCTTCCTTTACAACATTCCTCCCGTAAAACTGAGCCTCTGCCACCAAAAAGGCCTTCCTTAATGATCCAAAAAGAGACACCAATTTCCTTTTACCACGCCTGTCTGTATATGAAAGGTCTAGTAAACACTGATGTTCTCATTTGGCCTCTGAGTTCTAAAATACTCAAACCCACCACTATCATAATCAGCAAATAATTACTACAGTAGCTGTGGTAGCTGCCTATCCTATACATATACGTTTAAGTCAGCACACCATGTGACTGCCTGGAGGCCAGAGCTTAGAGCTATGTATACCACCAAACATCACGCACAGCTAAAATCCTTTTTAAAAAAAATGATAAAGTGGATATCCCTCCAAAAATCATAATAGGTAAAGGAGTTAACTTTATTCCTATACAAGCTCAGTGTGAGAGAATCACAGATTCTTATAATTATGTTAAGTATATTAAATTATAAATATCACCCCAAGGTAAGAAAGAACAGTAAGAAAAATAGTCATATTTACATGTGTCTTTCCTCAAAGAAAATTTTATTTTTTCTTTTAATTAGATTCTATTGATTGTGCTATTACCAGTTGTCCTGATTTTTCCCTCTTAGCCCCCCTCCACCCAGCACCCTCCACTCCCTCAGGCACTCCCCACACCACTGTTCGAGTCCATGGGTCATGCGTATAAGTTCTTTGGCTTCTCCATTTCCTATGCTGTACTTTACATCCCCGTGGCTATTCTGCAACTACCTATTTGTACTTCTTAATCCTCTCACCTCTTCACTCATTTTTTAGAGAAAATTTTAGAAATTAAATATATGTTAACATCTATATCTGCAATTCAAGGAAACTAAATTTCACCTGAGTTAATCTCCACAGATGATTACTATTTAGACAAGTAATCAACACCTAGAGTTAAATGCTTCTTGACTAGTTCTCTCCCAGAACTAAGTGTAGAGAAATGTATCAGTGCCTACACGTGTGTGTACAAGCACACTCAAGAAGCAGGAATTATATATAGCTCCAATTCAACGACTATGTAACTGAGAATTTTTCAGAAGAGGCCCTCTTAAATTCTTAAGATATGTGGGTACAACTATATCTCTCAATTGTATGTTCTGGAGAAACAGTTTGCTTTACAACACTTGGGAAAGGAACGTGCTACCTGACTTCCCCATCTATTCCAGATAATTACTGAATCAGCAACCAGCCTCCCGCAGGAACTGAGGAGCAAAACCAAACAATTTCAGTTCTGGAAACATAGCTGACCTGATGATATATGAGGCTTCCTACCATCTACTTTACAGAGTTACAGATTACATAGATTCAAGTTACAGTACTCAGCCCAAAACAGTCCGGAGTAACATCTTAAGAAAAGCACTAACACGCAATAAAATTTTAATAGAATTAATGTAACAAATAAAGAAAAGACTTCAGATGTCAGATACTCAGGTGGGAGAAGCCTGAAAGGTCATTTTAGGCCAATCACCCACCATGTGTTTGAATGTCCTTTTCTAAATTCCTTCCAAGCGATTCTACTGCCTCTCTCTGAATACCTCCAGCGAGAAAGACCTCACTGCCTTATGAGGTAGCTCTGACTGTAGACAGTTTGTCAGAATGAGCTGAACAGTCTTTCCCTGTAGTTTCCACTTTACTGCCTCTAGTTCTGCACTTTGGAACAACAGTAAAATCTCCACTTCACACACCAATCCTTTAAATACATGAAGACAGACATTATGCCTTCCCAATTTTCCCTTCTGTGGGCTAAGTAGCCCTATTCCTTTGCTGGTTTCTCATGGGACATAGTTTTGAGTCCCCTCTTCATGCATCCTAGTTAAGTTCCTCTAAACGAACCTCTGATCATCCCTTGAGCCCTTTCCCTCAAAAACTCTTCGGCCTCCCAGCCACTCCAGTAGCTGAAGATGACAGAAGCCCAGCGACTTCCCTGAAGTACTCATTCTGTTAGGTTGCATTAAGCAGAACCAGGATTAAAGCTCAAGTTTCCAATTTCATAACTCTGTGGTTTTCAAATGAGCCACTATCACTCATGCCATGTGCACGAGAATCACCGAACAGCTTGGCTCAGCAGATTGCCGGGCTCTGGGCACAAAGTTTCTGATTCAGCAGTTCTGGGATGGGGCCCGAAATGTGCATTTCTAACAAGTTCCTGGAGATGCTAAATGCTGGTTCAGGGATCACACTTTGAGAACTGCTACCTTCAGCCCGTGGGTCTCAGATTCAAGCATAGATGAGAACCGTTTGGGATGTTCATTAAATCTGGAAACTTAGCCTCTCCTCCGAAATAACTCAAAATAAATCTGGGAGGAGTTTGGGAACCTGCATATTTAACAAACGCTCCAAGTGAGTCTGACATAGTGGCACTGGCTGTGAAACATGCATTGATGCCACTCTATATTTTCAAATGCATCTGCATTTTGAGAAAACATAATTTCTTTTGCTCTGGGTGCTGTACCTTTTGATCTATATAGTGGCTTGGATATGCAACTTGAACTCTGATGGTGGAACTGCAAAGGGGTAATTCAATTTATATACTTGATATACTTGATTGCCTCAATTTGTAGACTTAAAATTCTAACATGAATTCCTATCTCTTTAGGATATTTTACAACAACATCCCAGATAAATGTTGGTAAGAAGCATTTTATGACACAGGTCTGACACGTGCATGTGAATAAAGGCCAAAGTTGTCATTACCTTTGCTTTGTGGAGGTCAACACCATACATGGACAACTTTTTGGCATTCTCAAGAAATTCCAGGTCAGCTTGAGCTGGAGTCATGGACCTTTGATAGGATACAAATTTAAAACTCTTTCAGTGTCACAGCATCAACATTTACAATAATATTTGTATAATCATTATATTTTATATAAACACATCAACATATATGCACCAATATGTGTGTAGATAATAGTTCACAGTTCTAGAAGTAGAATATTATGGAAAATGATTCTTAAAATATGCCTTCAAATAAGAGTTCTTAAAGAAACAAAAAGCCCACCAAAAAGCTATCAGAAAAAGTTAAAAAAAAAATCCTGCTAAACAATGTCCTTAAAGTAGCCCCATCTGCCATCAGTTCTGCCCCTCCCTCTCCTGAGCCTTTTCCTCCAACACACATAAACTCCACCCACTACGTTCTCTGGCTAAAAGGGTGACCAGATTAAATCCTCAGAGGGCAGGGTACAATTTACAATATCCTCTTAGTTGCCTTTTTCTCGCCATCCCCCTAAATTGAGTTATTATGGAAATTAAACAGGAGGGCAGCTGAAGTTACTTAACTGAACTCTTAATGGGGGCAGGCTTGATGAAAAGAGAATTTCTGGTAACAGATGGTGTTCCTGCCCACTGATCTAAACAAAATAAATTGGTTAATAGAAGCATGCAGATAATGGGGCTGCTTTCTCTGTTATTAAGATGTCTTCATTACTAGGCATATAATGAATTTCACTTGTTTGAAAACAATCAGTCTCATTGCCTAAACATTCACTGTGACGGTCTTTCCTTCTCCTTTTTAACTTCCCTCTCTTTGGAAAAGTGCTTATGAGCAGTTACGTTGAGCTTTGGAGAGAAAGATACCACTCCTAGTGCTGCACGGTTCAGACCAATCAAATATAACCTCAGAGTAACAAGAATGCACACATTCCCCCAAAGAAAAACCATGGAAATGCCTGTTTCCCGTAAGACTGGCTCAAGCTATATAAAGCAGCAGTGGCCTGTTCATTTAACAGGATGGAAAACGTCTCTTCCTAACCCATCTGTCTTTACCGTCATTAAAAAGGACAAAGGGTTTCTCGGAACAACAACCAAAAAAAAATCTTGGGAGAGAGGGAGCCGATCTGTTAACGTCTCAGCCTCCCTGAATAAACTGCTTTTCACCAGCACCGCACTATCACGTCTGAGCTCTGTTTCTTAATGGATCTCAAATTGAACACACACACCAAAAAAAAAAGGAAAAAATAAGATATTTACAAATCTGTATATTTAAGTCATTAAAAACATCTCAAGAAAGTTTTGTGGTCCCCCTGATCCCTCTCCCACATACGTAAGTTAAATACTTTTATAATTAAGGTTACTCCAGTCATTTTATGGTTTTTGTTGTTACTATTACTGGTGGCTTGAATTTTAGGATCTTGAAGCTCGAATGGAGCTGGAAGGTTACAGAGTCCAACACTTTCATTTTGCTGATGAAGAAATAGGCCCTGAGGGGTCACATGGTCATGGGCAAGTTGTAACTCCTTGTTTATGGCAGCAAGATCTAGTCAGGACTCAAGTTTTATCGCTTGAACTGGAATCCTGGCTCCTGTATTTAAAAGTGGTGACCTGGTGTCTCCTTCCATATCCCAGCTACAAAGAATCATAACAATACTTCCGAGACTAGGACAGGTAATGACTTTGGTCTGTGCTGAATGAATAAATGTGACTGGTAGGACAAAATGAGGTAATGGTTGTAAAACTGCATTATAAAATATAAATGTTTATTATTATTGCAAACTTGTTTCTGATGGTACGGTGATAAAGCTTATGCAGCTCATAAAAGAGAAATGATTTGGACCACATGGATTTGAAGACAAATTTTAAAACATTAAGTGAAGCAATCATGACAAAATCTTCCCTAAACTCACTCCTCCAACTCTAAGGGAACTTAATGGAGTCAATCAATTTCAATACAGATTTAAATTTCAAACTATGTGGTTAAGTGCTTTTCTGAGTAAGCATGCTTTAAAACTGTATTGTGGGAAGGTAGTAAAAAGAGATCTTTAACTTTATAACTTTCCTTATTAGTTGAAAATAATATAATTTAACAAATTTTAAAACACACAAACTTAAAAGTTACCTGTAACACAAAAACTAGTACAAAATAATGTTGAATGTAAACTGTAATTGAAAAAATAAAATCTTTAAAATAAGTTACCTATAATACAAGTAATGTTTTCCTGAACCGTGAGAGTAAACTGCCAATCTAATGACTCATCACTTCCAAGTGTGTGTCATTCCTACAAATAAGGACATTCTCCTACATAACCTCAATATAACTGTCAAAACTACGAAATGTTAATACATTACTACCATCTAACCCCCATTCAAGTTTAGCCAGTTTCAAAAACATCCTGCATAGCAAAAGGGTCCAGTTTAGCATCACAAGTTTCATTGAGTTCATGACTCTTTAGTCTTCTTCGGTCTGGAACAGTTTGTTAATCTTTGTTTCATAACCTGGATCTTTGGAAGATCGTAGGACAATTATTCTATAGAAAGCCTCCTCCGTTTGGGACTGCGGTTCTCCACGAGTTGATGCACATTCTGTATCTTTGACAGCAACGCACAGAAATGGCCCCGGGTCCTCAGTGCACCCTCACAGGTGGAACACAGTTTCAGGCCGTGCCTTCACGGATGACGTTCACGGTGACCACTGATGTCTGCCAGGCTCCTCCTCGTCTCTTTGTAATTAATAAGCGCTTTGTGGGAACGTATTTTGAAACCTTTCTCCATCTATTATAGTCTTTTTCTTTTAAATTAAATTTACTGAGGTAACATGTGAAACCTTTTGAATATCCCATTTCTTATCAAACTTTAAATTTACTCATTTATTTATATCAGTATGAAGTCACGGATTCTCATTTTATTCAATGCACTATAATTATTTTCCTTATTTATTTTGTACTTAAATTGCTCCAAGTTTGGTCAGTGGGAGTGTCTCCAACCTGTATTCTGTCCTTCCGACCATTTCCTACCATTTTTCAAGCACCTCCTTTTGATACAAAGTAGAGTTAGAGCATGTCAGTATCTGTGTGTGCATGTGTGTGACTGTGTGTGTGTGTGTGTGTGTGTGTGTGTATCTACCAACCTACCTACCGGAGACCATGAGTTCACTTTGGAACCTCCAGTTTTAATGCAGTATCACAGGGTTCATTTTAGTCTCTCATTCTCCAAAATTTGTATCTCCTAATTTAGGGACAGTAAGAAACCCGACTCCTACTATCCTTAATGTATTGACTGATTTGATCACCCTCCTGTGTAGAACCAATCTCTCATTGCTGCCCTCGACGCGTCCCCCATGTGGACGCCCTCTTCGCCCACTTGGACTCTGAATCCCCCACTCTGGGCTGCTCCCCGCACGGGGTTGTCCTTCCTGCCTCACTCAGGTTCCGCCTCCTGGAGTAAGGCCACCCCTTTCCGTGGACATCTTCGTCTTGCTCAGGCTTCACCGCCCCGAACCAGGCACCACCCATAGGGACGTCCCCCACGCCATGCGGGCCTTACCCCCACGTGGATGCCTTTCTCACTCTGCTCTGGCTCTGATAACCGCCACCGCAATCCCACACATGACTACGCTCTTCATCCTATTTGAACTCTGACTTTTCACGCCAGGCTGCTCCCCAAACCCCTATGAACGCTCTCCCCACCCTGCTTAGGGCCGAACATCCCCAGCCAGACCGCCCTTCTGCCTGAATAACTATCTTGCTCTATCCCACCTAATGACTTTAGGAAAAAAACTGTTTAAGGAAGCCTTTTCTGATTATAAAAATCATATATATTCACTGTGTGAAATCTGGAAAATATCATTAAGAGCACGGAAAAAAACCTCCTATAATCCCATCACCTACAGATATTTATGCATGTAAATATAACATATTTTATAAATGTAATATTATGTATTAAACTTAAATTATTTTCAACTTAACATTTTAAAGATTATAGCTTTTCCCAAGTTTTCCAAGACTCTTAAAAGTAGTAACAAAGTAGCTGGGAAGAGATTAGATACTTCTAAACCATTAAGATGGCTGTCCTGAATTATTAAGTACCGCCTAATCATTGACTACTTGAAAGTACTGCCGCTCCCAAAAGTACCTACCCAGGGAGCTTTGACACTGGTTAATTCTTGCTCATTAAAAAGGAGAGTTGTAACAAAGTTTCTCTGTGTTCATTTTGAGCAAGTTGGGTCAGGATATAGAGCCACTCAGTGAGCTCCAGCGTCATGTGACAGCCTCTTAATGATGTCTGTTGCATCTCTTAATTAAGGACTGTGATTTTAAATAATTAAGGAGGATAACTGACAAGTTTACATACCGTCCTAGTACCCATAAAATGGAGGGCAATTAATTTTAAAGCTTGATTTGCTAGTGTAAGTTTGAAGTGTCATTACAGCTTCAAAGTCTCTGTCTAGGCAAAGGGCCACTACTAAGGGTTCCATATACAGTGGTTGTCTCCTGCTTTACCTGAGGAGCAGGGGGTCATTTGTCTGCACTTTTCAGTGGGTAGTAAAACACTTCTGCCTGAGCAGAAGTGTCTTTGGATTGGTTAAAACGCCATGTTGTTGGACAGAATTAAAACTCCCATTTGGCTTTCTGTTTGTAAGGGTTGCTGATCATTCTAAAAAGGAGCAAGTAAATTCCAAAATGAAAGACTACTAAATTTTCTATTCAAGGAGATTCACTACTGTTCAATTTCTCTCTGTATACCTAACAGGACATCAACTGAACGATATCCATTTGTCCTCTGAGATCGTTTTGCCTTTTGGGGTTTAAATTCTGTTAAGTTCTGAAGAGGAGTTCTCTAAACGCAGACTCACATTCATCAGTTATAAAATAGGGACAAGAATTATTACTATCCTAGCAAACATCTGAATTCCCACTACACAGTAATCATGATGCTAAGCACTTTACATGGATTTTTTTATTTAACCATCATAAAATTCATATCATCACCCTCACTTTTCAGATAAAAAAAAAAACAAAGCTTAGAGCACTTAAGTAACTTACTAAAAGTCATTAAGTTGACGAGGGATGGCACCTGCTCTCAGAGTGAGACCGGCTGACTCCGGAGCCCATGCTTCCGTCTTATTACCCAGCTCAGTGGTTCTCAAAGTTTTGGACCTCAGGATGCCTCTCCTCTCTTTTTGTATAAAAACTAACAATACTTCTTGTGTAAAAAGTAACAGTATTTTCCCAAAATGTAGTAACAAATGGACATTGTTTTACATATTTACAAAATTTTTAAATGTCTGGCTTAGGTTGGATATTCCTATCCAGTTTCTGCATTCAATCTGTTGCAATATGTTGATTTTGTTATAATATACTAATGTGATCTCACACAGACACATAGTTGGAAAGGGAAGGACTGAGGATTAAAAACATTCTTCTTTGATATGACACCAAAACTCAACAATGGCAGTTGCTTAAAGGTCACTTGCGATGTGAAATCTGAAAACATATCAATAAACTTTTATACTGTGTTGCATTAAAATCCATTGGTCTATCTTGCATTTTGAATGTTTTAAATGGACCTTTTCTTTAACCCATGCATGCTTTACAGCATGCATTTAATATTTGAAAAAAACACTAATTCACTGAATAATGCAAGACTTCCAAATGTTCACATTTCATTGCACAATATAAGAAAAAAATCACATTCGTTAAAATCATTACAACTTCATCAGAAAAGCCTTTAAGTATTTGGATCCTGTCAAGATCGTGGTGGCAAAACAAGTTTTCCAAACTTTGAATTTTCACTTGAAAGCTTGACTTTTGTCATTAGCAACAAATACCATCAGGTTGTTTACTAACCCTAAAAGTACCAGGTTAGTACACATTTTTAAGAAAACAACTTCCAAATAATCAAGTCTGCATAATGATAGTCATTTTTTTCACGTAGAAATGGTGTTCATTAAAAAGGAGGCAAACTCAGCTCACAACTGCACACAGTTACGCGGTAGCTGACCTCAAGACGACTACTGCGTCAGTGCGCGGCGGAACTGCTTTCTGTGCACGTCGTGTTTAATCACACAGAATATTAAATGGAAACGTGCTTGAGACTTTAAAAAATAATCATCTTTTTTACTGCCTCATCAAGAAAATTTCTACTTGAACCGTCCCTGTGAGTCTTATTTTTAACTGCAAGTTAAAAAATGAAGGTGCATGTTGGTAGAGAACATAATGACCACTAGCGTGGTGTCACTCACTGCCTCGCTTGTGCGCCCCCCATTCCAACACAGGGAAGGGCAAATATCGCCACAGCATTACCATGAAAATAATTTAGACCTCATGGACCCTGTGAAAAAATCTTGATGATGACCAGGCTGGCCTAACTCAAAGGGTGGTTATAAAGATTAAATGTGATACTGTACATAAAGTGCTTAGCAGAGTGTCTGACACATAATCGATACGCCATAATTAGCAGCTTATAATGACTGTGTGATAATACTACAACAGAGAGTCAAGCATGAGAGTTAAGACTACAAAGTCCTCCCAAACCTGAGGTTCTACTATGATAAATTACCATTCAAGGAATCATCAGAGGCAGATTTAAAGTACTGATCATAACCTGCCACCATCTGCTGTTTGGCTCCACAGCAGTAACACAAAAAAATTATATACACACACATACATACACATTTACTATTTACTGATTGCCCAAAATTATACTACTAATAAGGCATGCCTTATCTATCTATCTATCTATCTATCTATCTATTTATCTATTTTTAGAGAGAGGGGAAGGGCAGGAGAAAGAGAGGCAGAGAAACATCGATGTGCAACAACATTGACTGGTTGTCTCTCACGTGCCCCTAACCAAGGACCTGGCCCACAGCCCAGGCATGTGCCCAGGAAGCCTTTTGGTTTGCAGGATGATGCCTAACCCACTAAGCCACACCAGTTAGGGCATAAAATCATTTCTAAATTATTAGAAAATAAAAAGATCATTCCCCTACTACCCTGACATTCTAACAAATCAAATTATTTCAACTGATTGTTTCTTTCTACTACTTGCTTTTGTATATATAAATGTAGTGAATATATTTTGTGTACAGATACATAAATTTCTAGAATCATCAAAATATAAATAAAATTATTAAAATGTAATTGAGGACAATGTAACATCCTTAAGTTACAATCATCAACAAGTTGCAAATGCTATATTTAGTGGGTCCTGATATTAGTGCACCGTTCTCATTGCACTATGGGGAAACAGGACGACCCCGTGAGAGTGGGGTAATTCTCTTAAGACTACTGCTATACAGGTTGTAGACTTGCAATCCTCGTGGTTCTCATGACACGGGGGCAATAAGACAGCCAGAATTGGCGCACCTTGAGTTAAAGCTCTCTTACTTGAAGCATCTCAATCTATTGGAACCACTTCAAGGAAAACAAGAGTGCTCAACGGAGAGACAGAACACTTGTTACTTATTGTGTAAAGCCTGCTAAGACTGTTCTGGGATGGCTGGGGTGGCGGGGGCAGCGGGGGGGTGGGGCGGGCGGGTAATGGAGACCACTGTACTTGAACAATAACAAAAACAAAGTAAAAAAAAAAGATTGTTCCAGATTTCTCAGTGGTGTGACCCTCTGGAACATCATAACATAACTCATACTAACATAACTCAAGGTACTAACTCAAGGCCAAGATCAGACATTTGCCTTAGTAGGCTAAGGCAGTTTACAAAATTTAGCATAGCAAGTCACCCAAACAACAATGGGATGTACAAGAGAAGAAACACAAATTATCCTGGCACTTTACTATTAGCTAACATTTATTGAATTTTTACTATGCGTAAGACATTGGATTAAGTTTTTCCACCCCTTATCTTTTCTAACCCTATCAACCACCCTACTTCCTCTGAGGGAGATAATCTCTCTGAGATTTATAAAAAACCTGTGGCTCAGAGAGATGAAATGAATGGCCCAAAGTCCCAAGGGCAGGACCACGCAGAGCCAAGAATGTGACCCATCTTAGTGTACAAGCCCTTGCTCTTGATAAATGTGTTATGATACCTCCCAACATCATCAATATTTCCATGAAAAAAAAAACACAGTAAATTTAATAGACAGACTTTAAATACACCTTACGGGGTTTCATGGGCCCTCTGAAGTCTATCCCTGTACATAGACCCCCAAGTCAAGAAACTTTGCACTAAGGATCACAAGACACCTAATACAGCATAAGTTTAAAATATGAAAAAATTAGGTATGGCAATCATGATGATAGCTATCACTTACCGAGCACTTACTATGTGCCAGAGACACTGTCCTTAGTGCTTTGCATATATGACCTCATTTCGTTTTCTCTTACAATGCAACACCCATTACTCTGATGTGAAAACAGGTTCAGAGACCTTTAAATGGCTTACTCAAAGAATTGGGAGGGAATTAAGCTTATACCGACTCTTTCTATGGCACCAGTTCCTGCTAAGGCAAATACTGAATCAATGCCAGGTCAATGGTTTAAGCTCACTGCCGAAACAAACACAGAACAAACCCGGGAGGCATATTTACCTGTATGATTTATGCAGCTCCATGACCTTCTCTTCAAGTTCCTTGGTCTGATTTGGGGCCAGTTTGAAATCACTAACATAATCCGCACCGTGGAGTTCTGGGTCATAGTCGCCCAGCTCAGACTGGATGGTGTAAGAACCTAGTAATGCTAAGGTTGCAAAGGAACAAGGCAGACGTCCTGCAACTATGTCCTGCCGAAGTTGAAGACATAAATAATATCTACAGCCAAAAGAGAAAAGATGTCACCATGTCAGCAACAACAATGACAAAATATAGGGAGAGAAAAGGAAGAAAGGGGAGAGAGACAGAGGAAGAGAGAAAAAAGTGACTGAGTAAATATGAGATAATATTAATAACTGTTCAATCCGTGTAGTGGGTATATGGTTGTTCCTTGTGTTGTCATTGGTTCTTTTCTGTGTGCTTGAAATTTTTTCATATAAAAAGGTTTTATTTTAAACTTGGAGTCATGGTTGGGAAGAAGTTTAGAAAGAAAAGAGGAAAAGTTGGGCAAAGTCTGAAGGAGGTAGAGAAACTATGTTTTGTTGGCTGCATTAAGGATCACACACACGTATATACTTGTCTAACCTCGACAGAGCAAACCCGTGGGGGGGTGGGGTGGCAGTCACTGCTGGATTACAGAGGAGGAGTCAGCCTCCGAGGGCGAGCTCGCTCCGTGTGGGACTGTAACAAAGGCTGTTTGACTTGGAAGTCGGGCCTCGCCTTTTCCATCACTCCCTTTGCCAGTATATTGCTCATCATATACAAAAATGACATTACTGATACATTTTCCCTAGAATATGAACAGTTTTCAGTGTGTTTTTCCTCTAAAATGGGCTTAAGTTGCATTCAGCCTTCACACACTGTCATCTTGTAAGACTCACCTCACCAGTGCGCTAACTGTCGGGAACTCAGGTTGGTGTTAAAACAGTTCAGTCCGACAGACCAGCTGAATGACCCTCCCTGGGCTAGACCCTCGCTGCTGTCAGTGTCATGTTCACACCCATGACCCTGACCTCCTAATTCTTGTTCTAACTGACCAAGTTGACCAGTTCAGACTATTTTACCAAAGAGGAAAGCTGGGAGGTATGATTACATTTAATTTTGTATATTATTCAGAATCATATCCTTGCTTTGACCATAATAAAATATTGAATAACATTTTTATTGGCAATAGTTTTTGTTATCTGTATCTGGTCACTACTATATTTATGTTTAAAAAAGATCAATGCCAGCCAACCACAAGAATCTTAATTAAGCTCCTCTAAAATATGATTAATAAAGAATTTTAGAGATTTGTTTTGTTGTATACATAAGAAACCTCAATGAAGAAAGATGAGTAAGTAGCAACTCTAAGAGACAAATATTGCCTGTGAAAAAGAAATAACCAAAGCATTTTTTTAGGCAGAGATCGCGTATCTCAACTTTAAGAATGTACTAAGTATAACAAGACAAAGAATACTTTTTTAAAAACTATGTAGAAATTTCACAGTACTTAACAATCAGACATTTTAAGAGTCTTAGGCTATTCTCTTATTTGAGAGAGAAAAAAAAACTAAAGCCCAGAAATGTGTGTTTGTCTGTAATCAGACAGTTGAACAGCAAAGAACAGAACTAGAAAGTAATTTCTCAACAACCAACAGTTCAATTGAAAAGACACTTGCCAAGTACCTACTACTCACAGGCTCCGAGCAAGGTGCTATGTATACAAACATGTACAGTAGCACTCTTTACTATATACTGCCTCTCCACTTTCTTTTTTGTTAATATTTATATAGAATTCAATGAAGGCCACACTCTTAAATCAGTAAGTTGTTTTTTAAAAGTACAAGACTTACCCCATAAATTAAGTGGGCTCAAAGATTACTGAAGAAGACTTATTTTGTATGGCTCATCTACCTAATCACACACTTTAAAAAGGAGATAGGAAGAACTAATAATAACACTTAGGCCTTAGTTTTTTAAATCCCTATAAGAAAGAACATGGTGGGAGAGGAGTATTTTTAACAAAAAGCGAAGCTATCTTACTACTACATTTGTGTCTTGCCCTTTCGAGGTCGGTATGGTTGATTGGTGCCCGGTCCATGGCTTAGCACAATACCCACGATGGGCACGGTTAATTCCCCCGCCAATTTTTTCCAGTCGAGGCACAGATATTTGAGGCTTTTAGCTCACCTATTTGCTAGCCTGCCTTGAGGTCACCAGCAACTTTCTATCTTAGTTTAACAGATCATCATTTTTCTTCAGTTCTGAAAAGAGAAACTCTCAGAGCTTGTGATAAGGAGAATGACTTATTACATAGTTAACTATTAATAAATGGTTTACCTTGTTATATCTTCAGTTAACTGTGCTGGGTCGGGTGGATAAAACTTTACATTAAATGTGAAATTCCAAGGGATACCTGTAAAAATAAATGCATAAGAATTTTATGCATATGCCTAAGTTTTTGATTGTTAGAAATACCTAAAATATTCAAATTTTTCTTTCCTGAAGTTTTAATATTGTCATGCTTTGTGAATGAAATAATTTCATTTCTTTAAAAGTTTAGATACCATTTAAGAGGTAGAGTTAGATGATTTCATTTAAAAAAAACTTAATACAGTCTTGTTTATAAGACTAAAATCATATAGACAAAATAACACAAAGGAAACCATCTTATAGTGTAGGGAACCATTCCGTGTGGCATGGGAAATGTAGCCCAGCCCAATTCGGAAAAGTAATGGGGAGCAAGGTCGGCACACAGGACCCACGCCCATGGATAGGTTTTCCCATGGGGAATCAGGCCTGCATTGTACCGAGGCTGCTATGAGCATTGCTTTTGCTAAAACTCCCTCACCCTGAATTGAGGCATCAAATGTTTATTGCATATCTTTAAAGTAACTTCCTAAAATCTATGCTAAACCTCCCAAGGACAAGCGTAACCAGTTCAACCACTTTTCCCTTTGCATTTGCAAATATCCTTCTTCTTTGATGTAATTAGCAACATCCTCTTCTTTGTTTTCTGTAAAAGGTAACCAGCTAACGAAGCTGTACATAGTAAATGAGGACCATCCTCAATATAATGAGCCCAGAAAAGCAATAAAAGCCTGTCCAGGTGGGGGTCAGGACCCTCTCTCACTCAGAGTGGCCATGCCGCCCCTTTTTCTCCACAGGACTTCTGCAGTCCGTGTGAATTTGTTCATCGAATCCACAACACATGGACCACGTGGGCCGGGGTCCGCATCATTATAGGTCAACATGTTTACAGCAACAGTTTTCAAAATGTGATCTGTATGCCACTCTGTGTCCTCAGAAGTCATCTGAATGATCCATGAATGTTCTCTTTTGGTGGTGGCATCATTTATTTGTGACATCTCTCAATACAGGCATACCTCATTTTATTGAACTCTGCTTTATCATACTTTGGAGATATTGTGGAGGGGGTTGTTTTGTTTCGTTTTTAACAAAGTTTTGTGCAAGTCTATCGGCACCATTTCTCTAACAGGTTCAGATGATGGTTTACCTTTTTTAGCAATGAGGTGCTTTTTAAATCAGGTATGTACATTGTTTTCTTAGACAATGCTATTGCACATCTAATAGACTACTTTACAGTATACTTTTCTACGTACTGGGAAACCAAAAATTTTGTGTGACCCTCATTATTGTGATATTTGCTTTATTGCAATAGTCTGAAACCAAATGGGCAATATCTCCAAGGTATGCCCAAGAGAAATGTCGACAAGAGAGACAAACGTCGATTGGTTGCTTCCTGTACACACCTCGACAGGGGACCAAATCCCAGGCATGTGACCTGACAGGGAATCTAAACAGCAACCTCTCACTTTACAGGACACTGCCCAACCAACTGAGCCATGCTGGCCAGCGCTGTTGTTTTACTTTCTGATATGATAAAATCACATCAGTCTAGCCATTGTCAATTCATAACTTCCCATACAAACTTTTTTTTAAAAAGGTGATTTCTATATTACCTATAAAATGTTTGGCTAGAGCAAATCCATATGGAAAACAAGATAGCCAAAAGAATGTTTAAGCTATCTATGTGAATTCAGCATTTAAGAACTTCAAACAAATTTACTTGTTTCATAATGTACTGTATTTTTGGACCATAAGATGCACCTAGGTTTTAGAGGAGGAAAATAGGAAAAAAATTTTGAAGCAAAAAATGTGGTAAAATATTTAATAACATAAATAACATAATATTTCACCAATGTAAATGGAACTCAACAGCAACATTAACAACCATTATTCCTTCCAAACTGGGGGGAGAGAGTGAATCTTATAGTCCAAAATATACAGTATATAAATAACAATTTTTTAATTGTACAGGAAGAATAACAGTAAGGAAATCAAATTAGTAATAGTTTACTGCCCTGACTGGTGTGGCTCTTTGGGTTGGGTGTCATCCCACAAAACAAAAGGTCACAGGTTTAATTCCCAGTCAGGACACATGCCTGGGTTGCAGGCCAGGTCCCCCGTTGGGGGTGTAACCCATTGATGTTTCTCTCCATTTCTCCCTCCCTTCCCCTCTAACAATAAATAAATAAAAAAAATTTTTTTAAATTAGCAATAGTTTATAGAGTGTGATTTGTTTTCCTTTGAGCTCTGTGTTAAGTAACTGATATCAAAAGCTTAATGACCCCGGGGTTGGTGGGGAAATAAAGCACTTTCATGTACTGCCAATGTGAGTGTAAACTGGCACAAAACTATGAAGAATAACTTGACAAATATCTATCAAAATGTAAAATGTATATATGCCCTGTCACCCAAAATTTCATTTCTATCTATTTATATCTATCTAAACATATATTTAATTGTGGTCAAAATGAAGTGTGTGTAAGAAATGTTTACAATAGCAACTATCTAGAAACAATCTGAATATATTTATTTAGCAAAAGAAGATACAGCTCCAAGATACACTGTTAAGTGAAAAAAAAATCAAGGCAAAGAATAGCACAGACAGAAAGCAACCATGAAAGTTGGGGTAGGAAAAAAGTACATACTACAGGTATAATTACATATGCGTAGTCTACTCCTGTAAGGACACACGACAAACTAGTCATAGCAGGTGAGAAACGAGAAGGGGACGCCTGGGGAGGGAGAGTGAGAGGCTGGGGGAGAGCGGTTAGGAGGGAGACCTGCTCTCGCTACATTCTATTTCACAGCATTTGAACTTTGTGCTTTGTACATGTACTACTTAACAGATATATTCATATATGTACAGATATACACACCAACACACATCTGTAATTAAAAAGGATAAACTTTGTCTCCTCCCACTGAAACCCTAATATCCAAGGACAAGATTTTTTTCTGTTTTATTTAATGCGTATCCCTAGTGCCTGAAACAGTGCTTGGCATATCATGGATGCTCAAGAAACACTTGCTGAGTGAATAGATGAAATAAAGTAGCTGACCTCATGCACTGTTGTGAAGGTTATAGGAGAATGCTACAGCTCCAGAAAAAAACAATCTTTTAAAGGACTGCATAAAAGAAGAATAGGTACTAGTATATTAAAATTATTTATTGTCCTAGCCGGGTGGCTCTGTTGGTTGGAGCATCATCCCATATGCCACAAGGCTGTGGGTTTGGTTCCTGGTCAGGGCTCATACCCAGCTTGCGAGCTCCGCCCCTGGTTGGGGCGCATATGGACAGCAACCCATCAGTGTTTCTCTCACAACAATGGGTGTGTCCATCTGTCTGTCTGTCTCTCTCTTCCTCCCTCCCTCCCTCTCTAAAATTAATAAACATATCCTTGAGGGAGGATTAAAAAATTACCTATTTATTTATTAATCCAGATCCCCCACTGACCTCAAGTCACTAGATCTAATCAGACAAAAATCACACACACACGCACACAAACCCTGTATTCTGACTGGATGTTTCCTCTCTATTTAACTCGAAATAAGGAAATTTAATCATTTAAAATAATATCTAAACAGAAATGTCCCCCAAATTAGCTCTTTTACTTTTGTTAATAGCAACTGTAAGCAGAGGAACTCAAACTTTCAGTTCAAATTTTTTCCATTCAAGAGATACAAGCTTTGGATACTTTAAAAAAAGATGCCCAGTTTCACTGTACACAAGCTCAGGGTCAAATGCAATAGGGAGGCTAAAAAAGTTAATCAGTTGGGATTTTTAAAAATATTAAAATTAATCTTTAGCCAGTGACTATTTCTAGAATATGATACATACTGTTAATAATTCCTTATTGAGAAGGTTTAGTAGGGGGAAAATGGTAGCTGGAAAAGCCCTAAAAAGTTTCAACATTAAAATTTCTGCCTCTAAATCAGCAACACTTCAATGACATTCCTGCCAAAGTGCATAACTTTAAGATTCAAGTACCATTAAGAAAAACCAGACCAACTCAAAGTTACCACTTAACAAACAACTCGTCTGGGTTCTTCAAAACTGTTAGTATCATGAAATACTTTAAAGGCCGCAGAACTGCTCCAGATTAAAGACAGCTAAAGAGATGTGATACCAAATGCAAAGTGGCACCTTGGACTTTCTTTTCTATAAAAGCGTTATTGGAACAACTGACAAGTAAGGTCTCTAGGTTACAGTGTTGCCTCAGCGTTAACTTCCTGCTTTTGGTAATGTTATGTAAGAAACCAATTCCTAGTTTTTACGAAATGCAAACTGAAGTATTTCGGGGTGAAAGGGTGTCATGACAGCAACTCTTTTTTTAAGTCTGGTGAAACTCCCACAAAGCCATTTTAAAGTATAAAAGTCCGTACATTCACTCATATAACGAAGTGGCACTGAGTACATTCACAATGTTGTACGACCACCACCTCTATCTCACTTCAAACCACGTTCATCACTCACAAAAGAGATTCCGTACCCATGACGCACTCACTCCCTCGGCTCTCCCAGCCTTGGCGAGCTCAGTGTGCTTTCTGTCTCTATGGGTCTACGTATTCCGGATAATTCATACCAATGGCATCATAGAATATGTGGCCTTTTGTGTCAGGCTTCTTTTCCTTCTGCAATGTTTTTTAGGTTCATCCATGCTGGAGCAGTTCCCAGTACGGCATTCCTTTTTCGAGGCTGAATAATATGCCATTGTATGGCCCGCCCCCCCCCCATTTTGTTTATCCGCTATCCACTGATAGACACTGGGTTGTTTCCCTCTTCTGACTAAGGCAAATGGTGCTACTATGATGCAACCTACTCTCTAACCAGCTAAGCTACCCAGCCAGGGCCTATAAACTCGACTTTTAACTGTTCTTCCTAAAGAGTCTTCTCATAAAATCACTTATTCCTAAGTAAAATTGAACATTAAAAGTATTTTCATTGAAAGGGGCTAGGAGCTGTGTTTTTCTTGTCATGTCTCAAATCTGCCGAGTATTTTTTGCAGACTTGCATTTTAAAACAAGAATTTTAGGCTGAGAGCAAATATGGAAAGTTGATAGTCCAAAAGACCATTTTGTTTCTCTGTCTTAAGAAATATAAATTATAAATAGGGTCTAGAGGAAAACATTTCACCATAATAAAATTATTTTATTTAAGAAACAAAAATTAAAATGTGTTTTCAGGTGATAAAGAGTTAAAACTTACTAATGATGATGAATAACGTCTTTGTAGTTCCTAGAAGTTTCCTCAAAATACACTAAACTCAAAGGATATCTGGTCACAAATAGTAGGGGGTTGAGGGAGGAGGTCTCTACCCTTCAGCCAGCCCACTAAGCCTGTAGCCAGGAAACTGTAATCTAGGCCTTTCTGACCTAGAAACATACTAGTCGGAGAAGGGTGTACAGCAGCAATATAGTCTAGGGGGTCTGAAGCTGGGACAAAGCCACAATGTGAGAAGGATCACAGGCAAAGAATTCTTATTCTTCTATTCTTACACTTCAGTTTGGAAGAGGAATGTTGAAAATGGACAAAAAGAACCACGGAGAGGAAAACATGAAGACGGTTAGCCCAGAACAATTTGAAAAGTACAAATCCAGGCAGCACACTTTGAACTGAAGGCTACTATAGTTTCAACCACTGCCCTTCTGAGAACTGACTCCCATATCCTTTTTCTCTTTTCATCTTTGTTCTCTTCCACCTCCTGTTTCTCTCAGCTGGCCCTATCTTCCCCAACTTTGCCTAGTTGTAAAAAAAAAAAAAAATCATCAGGATCTGACCTACATCTCGACAGCGTCCACTACCGCTGCACCTTTCTATTATGGAATCTCCTCCTTCCAGGGGAAGGTTTCATCTCCATTTCAAAGCCATCTGCTATAGCCAGGATTCTAAAGTGCCTAACAGTCAGAAAATGGTTAGAAATCCTCTGACCTACTAAAAGAAAGAAATATAAAAAAAGGCAACATTCACTTACCACGAACCTGCTTTTTTATTTCTTTGGCAGAGTCCAGCCATGTCTGTAAAAAGAAGAAAAGGCATTCACACAGATCTCCGAAACGTAAACAAGAGAGTACCGGAATCAGGGTTGCTGACCATCTTCAAACGGTGCCTCCGGGTCAACCTACGTCTCCAGTATTCTTGGCATTCATTTCCCAGACACAGTATTTTCGAGTAGAAAAATGGGGCTGGGTAGTTGGACTGGAATCCTAGCTCACTGCTTCCTAGCTGAGTGTCTTTAGGCATCTCTGTACCTCAGTTTCCTCATCGATAAAATAAGATATTAGTAGTAGTGCCTATCTCAGAGAGTTACTGTGAAGGTTAAATGAATATACATAAAACTCTTAGTAAATGAGAAATGCTAAATAAGCTCTTGTTATTTTTATTACACTATAAAGTCTAGTAGAGATCTATGACCAGGATTACTGACATCAGCCGGATCTTATTTTCCCTCCGACTCTGACCTCCAGTCTCATCTGGCTCTTCTGTGTCAGCACAGCACCTGGGACGTGGTTCACCTCAATAAATGCTCACTGAGTGACTATTCGGTTTCCCCTGGCTAACCTTGTCCACACCAGTCTCTCCCTTCACTGTTCTTCAGCCCCACTTAGCGTCTGCCCACCACGGTGATGGACCATGCAAAGTAACGGTGCTTGAAAAAAGCCTCACCCTTAACATCTTTCAGAGGCTCCTAGGGAAATTTTTAAAGACAGAAGTTTCTAAAGTAAATTGCTTAAAGGATTTTTATTGGCATAAGATACATACAGAAAAGTACATAAAACGTAAGTGCATAGAGCAATAAATTATCAAAGCAAACATATAACATTACCAGCATCCCAGGAGTTCCTCCCAATCTTCCCTATTCCCTCCTCTAAAAAGTTTAAAATTGAATCTCAGTGGTATGCAGACAAGAAGAGTAAGGTGCCCCCTCTTCACCCTCTACCAACAAGGGCAAAGCACAGGTGGCCATCCAATGCGCCCCACCCAAGCTATGAACTTGAACACCCCCATCTTATATTTCATTGGATCCCACTTTAACTACTATATAAAGATCGTCACTACAGCAGACAACAAGCACAAGAGTGAAGACGAGTTTCCTTTTATCTCCCCTGCTCCCACAATGAACACAGATGATTAAGAAGTATATGTTAAAAATGCCATAATATAAACTTGTTCTATAGTATAAAACTAAGCACACATTAGTTTAAGCCCTGTCAGAAAGCAGGTAACCAGGGTGTTTCTCCTTCACCTCTCGTCAAGACCAAAGAACTTTAGGTCCAAAGGCAAGGGGAGACTTTAAATGTGCTAACGGATAGGTTTTGTGGAACCTCTGAGAACCATGGTTTATACCATGTGATCCAGAATTCTTAACACAGCCTGCTTGTTACCACTTTAAAGTAAACATCTCCCCACCATAGTGAGGCAACTCCATATTTTCCACTATTTTTAAGAGAAACCTCCCAAAATAACCTGAAGCTGCCAAGTTTCCTACAGAGATTTCATAAGCCATTCCCCACAATCCGACAGAGAGGGCAAACCCACATTTGTATCGATCACATGGTACCCCAAGGTATAAGCTACCTTATAGAATACATTATTGTTGCTTCAGTGTCTCAACCTCCAAATCAAAATTAAAAAACAGTGTGCACAAGAATAGGTACTTTTATGTTCAATTTAAATGCTTCATTTCATAGCATTTTATTTAGCTAACAAATATTTGAGGAATGCCTCCACAAGCTAGGTACCACGGTTACAAAAAGGGATTTAAAAATAGCACTTGTCTTCAAGGAGCTGTCTGTATAATGGAAGCGGCGAACGCTGAGCGATCAGTTTGTTCTGGGCGTGATAATCACGATGACAGAAGTGCAGGAGAGTGCTGTGCTGTGTGCTGTGCGAGAGCAGAGAGTGCTCTCAGAGCCGAGAGGGGGTGCACCAAAACGGACTGGGGATATGAGGCAGCTAGGAAATGTTTCTCAGAAAGAATGTTTGGGAGACCCACAGTGAGGCTTGAGGGACAAACAAGAATTAGCCATGCAAAAAAGAGGAGGAAGTAATTAGAAAGGCACAAAGTATACGAGAGAACACGATATATCTGAGTTGCGGCCTGTACTTCCACACAGCTGGAACACAGAGGTACGGAGGAGAGATGTAAAACGGACAGGGACATAGCCTTCCATGTTAAGAAACTTGGACTTGACTGAGTTCTAGGCAAGGGGGGGTCACTTAAGGCTTTGAAGTGGAGTGGCATGGATTTGAGGAAACACGACTGTACACAGCGAGACCAAATAAGAGGTTGCTGTTGAGAATGATAAATGTGGCCCAGAGCAGAGCAGTGGTTACGGGTACCAGTTTTGAGATCAGAGAGCCTTGCGCTCTGATCCTACCTTGACCCCTCCACCACTTACTAGTAATGCAACTTTATATAAGACAATCTTTCCGAGTCTTGGTTTTCTCACATATACAATTGAGATAAAACTGCCTTCCTCACAGTTATTGTGGATTAAATTACACCATGTACATAAAAAACATATAGCCAGTATTAAATAAAGTATACTGATACTGATCATCGAAAGAATGTAACAGGATAAAGTCTATGGGACAGAGAAGATATTTAGGAGCTAAAATGGTCAGGGTTTATGACTGACTGTTGGTAAAGTATAATGGTAAAGGATAATTCCCAAGTTGCTGGCTTGGGTAACTAGGGAGATATGGGAACAGGAAATTCCCACATCTGAAATAGGAAATGGAATGAATTTTCATGAAGAAGAGAAAAGATAGCAAAAAACTGGAACCAACACAAATGTCTCCCTGTCGGGAGTCCATTTTGCCAATTATATCTGGTGAGTTAAATAAATTAACATTTTAAACAGAATATAAGTTTGTGCATTAGAAAATTGCTTTCCTATATAGGTAAACACAGCCTGCCTCCTTGCACAACCACATCAAAACTACAACTAAATTATGGAACAACCGTAACTCAAAAGGATCAGAAATCAAGTTGAATGGAAGTCTCACAACTACTGAATTAAAGAAACCACATCCATCCAGACCGGTAGGAGAGGTGGAGATATGGAACAGGCTGGTCCCACATCCAAACGTGGTGAATAAAAATTCGGGTGAGATATCTCGGGAACGAGGAGTGCCAGTCCCACACCAGGCGCCCCCGCCTCGTGTTCCAGTGCCAAGAAAATAAGTCCCCACAACTTCCGGCTACAAAAACCAGCAGGGACTGAGTCAGTGGAAGAAACTTCTGGAGCCCCAAGCAGTTCCTCTTAAAGAACCCATACACAGACTTACTCAGACTCACTCCCTCTGAGCTCAGGGGTAGCAGCTTGAAAGGTACTAGTGACACAGGAGGAACTCAAGTGTCTGGCATCAAGGTGTGAGCCGGGGACAGCTTTCTCCCAGACAGAAAGTCAGGCAAAGGCCACTGACCCTTTTCTGAACCCTCCCTCAAGAGAGCCACAGAGCAGACAGGTGACATATCTTAGACTCCATCAACCAGGCTAACACTGTTTGCCCTGCCCTGGAGATCCCCTGAGGCTCTGTCCCACCCAACACGCAGCTGTTAACAATGGTTTCTACATATGAGTGACTGATCTTGGCTCCTGCTTCATAACTTCCTAATTCCTTTCAAACAAGCAACAGCTGGCCCCCGTGAGTAAGTGGCCCCAGGCACCGCACTAGCAGCAGCCAGCTTAGATTCACGGCGTGGCTTCCCTGGGAATCTCCAGGCCCAGCATAAGTAGTAGTCATCTCAGATTGTTTTATAGCTCTGGTGGGGTGGCCCCAGGCAAAACACTGGTGTGAGCTGACCTTGGCCTGCAGTGGGGGAAACCCCAGGGCCTGCACAACCAATGGACAGCAACAGAGGACATGGGAGCACTACCGCCCTGCCCCTGCACAGCTGAACCTCCAAGGAGGGCAGAGGTTGGTGGTCAGTCATCACAGCCAGTCCTTGCAAGTGACTGGTCTGCTGCAATGGGAAGGTAAGTCATTCCCATTGACCTGCCAACAACAACTAAGGCTCAACTACAAGAGGAGGGTACACTCACCCCACACAAAGGGCATACCTTGAGTACCCAACTTGGATGATAAGGGAGGCTGTGCCACTGGACCCAACAGGACGCTTACTACATTAGGCCACACTACCGAGACAGGGATTCACAGCAGCTCTAATACATAGAAACAGACACAGGGAGGCTGCCAAAACAAGAAGACAAAGAAACATGGTCCAAGTGAAAGAACAGATCAAAACTCCAGAAAAAGAACTAAACAAAATGGAGATAAGCAATCTATCTTGTAGTGTTCAAAACACTGGTTATAAGGATGCTCAAGGAACTTAGTGAGGACCTCAACAGCATAAAAAAGATCCAGTCAGAAACAAAGGATACACTAATTGAAATACAGAATAATTTACAGGGAAACAATAGTAGAGTGGCTGAAGCCAAGAATCAAATCAATGATTTGGAACATAAAGCAAAAAATAACCAATCAGAACAAGAAGAAAAAAGAATAAAAAAAAATGAGGATAGTGTAAGCAGCCTCTGAGACAACTTCAAGAGGTCCAACATTCGCAACATAGGGGTGCCAGAAGGAGAAGAGAAAGAGCAAGAAATTGGAAATCTATTTGAAAAAATAATGAAAGAAAACTTCCCTAATTTGGTGAAGAAAATAGCCATGCAAGTCCAGGAAGCACAGAGAATCCCAAACAATATGGATGCAAAGAGGCCCGCTTCAAGACACATCATAATTAAAATGGCAAAGGTTAAAGATAAAGGGAGAATCTTAAAAGCAGCAAGAGGAAAGAAGTTAGTTACCTACAGGGGAGTTCCCATAGACCGTCAGTTGATTTCTCAAAAGAAACTTTGCAGGCTAGAAGGGATTGGCAAGAAATATTCAAAGTCATAAAAGCAGGGACCTACAGCCAAGACTGCTCTCCCCAGCAAAGCTATCATTTAGAATCAAAGGGCAGATGAAGAGCTTCCCAAACAAGAAAAAACTAAAGGAGTTTATAATC